CTCTGTCTCTCTCTGTCCCAAAAATAAATAAAAAACGTTGAAAAAAATTTAAAAAAAATAATAAAATAAATTAAAAAAAAAAAATCTCATAGCAGCGCCTGGGTGGCTCAGTGGGTTAAGCCTCTGACTCTTGATCTCTGCTTAGGTTCACGACCTCACTGTTGATGAGATCGGACCCGATACCCGGCTCTGCACTGGAAGTGTGGAGCCTGCTTGAGATCCCCTCTCACTCTTTCTCTGTGCATGCAGAGCGCGTGCATACCCTCCTCTGCGCGTGCTCTCTCCCAAAAATAAATTTTAAAAACCTCATTCTTTATTAAAATTTTTTTAACGTTAATTTTTGAGAGAGAAAGAGAACACAAGCAGGGGAGAGGCAGAGAGAGAGAGGGAGACACAGAATCCAAAGCAGGCTCCAGGCTCCGAGCTGCCAGCACAGAGCCCAACGCAGGGCTCAAACCCATGTACCGCAAGATCATGACCTGAGCCGTCAGACGCTTAACCCACTGAGCCACCCAGGTGCCCCTCATAGACTCTTAAATGCAGAGAACTGAGGATTGATGGAGAGACATGGGTGGGGGATGGGCTAGATGGGCATTAAGGAGGGCATCTGTTGGGATGAGCCCCGGCTGTTGTATGTAAGTGATGCATCACCAAACTCTACTCCTGAAACCAATGTTGCACTGTGTGTTAGCTAACTAGAAGTTAAATAAAATATTGAAAAAAAAAAAGTCTCACGATCCTGTCTTTACATGATAAAACTCTAAAATTCCCAAAATGCATTAACATACCCCTTTCCTTCCTACGCAGGTAGAAGAGTTTCTGAATGATTTAAAGCCCAACATCACACAAATCACAACACAGTGACAATAGAGAGTTGTTCTCGGGTATTAGTAAGCCCGTATGTCTGTCTGCTTCTTTATTGTGTAAAACATTCAGTTCTGACTGCTTTGTATGGTTTTATCTCCTCAACGTCATGCTCTCAGTATAGCTCTCCGTACCTTTCGACTCTTTACCTCAAATCTACTATGGTCTGGGGGGGGGGAGGCAAACTATTGGAATTTCTGTGAACCAAGAAGAAATGGCTCCAGTTTCCGATTTTCTGGACAAGACAGAGGGGTGAGATCAGACCTGTCCGTCCGCGACACAGATGCAGCTATGGCAGATGCAGCACAAGAAACCATTCTTGGGGGGCAATTAGATAAGAGGAACACGGGGTTGTGCTCCTCGGGATAAGGGAAATACACACACACACACACACACACACACACACACACGCGCGTGCGCGGTGAGTTTCACAAACCACCTGGCTCCCGACCTAGAGGCACTTTCCCAACCATGGCATGGAGAAGTAGACCGCAGTGACAGGGTCCTTCCTGATGGGCAGAAGACCACCCAGCAGTTGGGGTTTGGGGCTACTGAGATTGCCGAATCTTCTGGAGTCCCTGGGTGGTAAGCCGCACATCCTTAGGGCCAGACTCTGCAAGGCCCGGTGGAGAACAGTTGCCAGGGTGCCGTGAAGCTGCATGGGGACTGTGTGGGCCTGCGGTAATATATCTGGGAATATCCGGTAATATATCTGGAAAATATCTGTGTGCCTTCGGACATAAATGAGGACATCTTACAGATAGCCCAGGCACATTCTGCTGAGCCCCCAGCAACACCGTGCTTGGGGGTTAGAGCTGCTTTGTCCTAGAGTCAGGCCCCCTCGGACCCACCCTCACAAAGCTTAAAACCGAGCCTCGGCAGGACCAGCTGACCCACCGGTAAGTCAACTGCCTGCCAAGGCAAAACACGAACCCTTTAAGGGGACTAACACTCAGATCCTAAAGTGGCATCCGACATGACTAAGATATAATACGAAAAAATCACTAGACACGCAAAGAAGCAGGAGAGTGTAACCGAGAGAGGAAACAGTCACCAACAACATACTCAGCAAATAGCCGCCATACCAATCCGGGGATGCCTGTTCCTAAGACTTGTTTCATGGAGACAAAAAGGAACTTCTGTCACATTAAAAACAAAAACAGACGCAGAAAATAAAACGGATGTTAGAATCAGGAGACAAGCATGGCATAATTTGATTAGAAACTCAAATTTGGGGCGCTTGGGTGGCTCAGTGGGTTAAGCGGCTGACTTTGTTTGGCTCAGGTCACGATCTCACGGTTCACGAGTTCGAGCCCTGCCTCGGGCTCTGTGCTGATGGCTCGGAGCCTGGAGCCTGCTTCGGATTCTGCGTCTCCCTCGCTCCCTGCCCCTCCCCCGCTCATGCTCCATGTCTCTCTCTCTGTCAAAAATAAATAAAACATTTAAAAATTTTTTCTTAATTAAAAAGAGAAAAAAGAAACTCCTCAAATTTAATGAAAAACAGGTTCAATAAGCCCACATGCTCCAAGCTGGGTGAACAGAAAATAAACCTCTTTAGGCACATTGTAGTGAGGCAGAAAAAAGAAGTCCAAGGATTTAAAAAAAAAAAAAAAGAATCTATTAAAAGAAGCCTGGGAGAAACAATACTCTGCATATACAGGAGCAAAGACACCAAATGCAGCTGGCTTCGCATCAGAAACATTGGAGGGGAGGAGACAAGGAAATAACTTTTGTAGGGAAAATAAAACCGTCTACACAGAATTCTGCATCTAATGAAACTATCCGGCAAGACCAGAAGTGAAACAAGGACATCTCAGATACACAAAGACTGAGAGAATGTGTCGTTAGCAGACTGGAACTGCAAGAAAAAGTGAATGGAGCTCTTCAGGCTGCAGAGAAATGACTACAGGTGGCAAGTCAGTTTTACAGAAGAGGGAAAAAAAAAAAGTCTGGAAATGGCGAGTATGTGGGTGGATCTAAAACACCAGAAGTATTTTTTTCTTGAGTTTTTTTTTTTCTAACGTTTATTCATTTCGGAGAGATGGAGAGAGACAGAGTATGAGTGGGGGAGGGGCAGAGAGACAGGGGGACACAGAATCGGAAGCAGGCTCCGGGCTCCGAGCCGTCAGCCCAGAGCCCGACGCGGGGCTCGAACCCACGAACCGTGAGATCATGACCTGAGCCGAAGTCAGACGCTTCACCGACTGAGCCACCCAGGAGTCCCTTTTCTTGAGTTTTTAAGGTAAAAATATAGAATACTCTACAAGGCCTGGGATTTAGTGTGGGATTTGTTACATACACACACACACACACACACACACACACACACACACACACCAACAGTACCAAAGATGAACGGGGGTGTTTGAATTGAACCATACTGTGGCTACGTTCCTATATTTCATGGGAAAACAATCACTGATTGTAATTAGAGACCTATAACCCACAACAACCATTGCAAATGTAACGCAATGACAGCATCATTAAAGTAAAAGATGGAATACCCATTGAGAAATCAGATTAGGATATTTTTAAAAATAGAGAATAACAGGGGTGCCTGGGTGGCTCAGTCAGTTGAGTGTCTGACCTCAGCTCCGGTCATGATCTCGCGGTTTGTGAGTTCGAGCCCCACGTCGGGCTCTGTGCTGACAGCTCAGAGCCTGGAGCCTGCTTCGGATTCTGTGTCTCCTCCTCTCTCTGCCCCTCCCATGCTCATGCTCTGTCTCTATCTCTCAATAATAAATAAACGTTAAGTAAAAAAAAAAATAGCAAATAACAAGAAGGAAGGAACAGAGGAGGAGAACAACACAACAGAGATGAAGCAAACAGGAAATAGCTAGATGGTAGGGCTAAATCCAAGCACAGCCATAATTACACTAACCGTAATAGTCTAAACAACCCAGTTAATAGGCAGAGTTGTTAGGAAAGTAAGTTTCTACTATACTGTCTAGAAGAGAAGGAATCAGAAAGTCATGATATTATAAATGTGTCTGTATTAAAAGAGCATCACAAACTTGATGAAAACCCGGACCGCACTAAAGGTTTAGTCAAATCACCCAAAGTCACAGGCGGAGATGTTAACACGGCCCTTTCGGTAATTGGTAGAACAGACAGACAAGAAATCCTGAAACCATACAGAGGATCTGGACAACAGTATCAACCACTGTGAACTTTAACGGAGATTCATAGAGCACTACACCCAACAATGGAAGAATAAAGGCATTGTCAAGTGTACAAGGAATGTGCAGTAAGATGGGACACTATTCTAGGTCATGGAACAAGTTTTGGTGAATCCCAAATGATTTGGATCTTACAGAGTACTTTCTCTGGCCACAACTGGACTGAACTCAAGGTCGATTTCACTAAACTATCCAGAGAAGCCCTGAACATATGGAAACGAAACAGTGTGCTTCCAAATGACCATTAAACAATGAGTCACGAGCAGAAAAATTTAAGAGTGAATGACAATGCAAATGAGGCACATGAAATTTGTGGAATGCAACTAAAGTACAGCTAAGAGAGAAAATTACATCAAATGCTTGTATCAGAAAAGAAGAAAGGCTTAGAATCAATACCCTAAGTTTCTGCCCTTGGCGGGTAGGGGGAGAATGAAAAGGGGAGAACAACCTCAAATTAAGGAAAGAAAGGATAAAGCACAAAGAACAGAAATTAATGAACTAGAGGGGCGCCTCAGTGGCTCAGTTGGTTAAGCGTCCAACTATTGATTTTGGCTCAGGTCACGATCTCGCAGTTTGTGAGTTCGAGCCCCGAGTCGGGCTCCGAGCTGACAGTGCAGAGCCTGCTTGGGATCCCCTCTCCACCCCCTCTCTACCCCTCCCCTGATCGTGCTCTCTCTCTCTCGCTCTCTCAAAATCAAGAAATAAAACTTAAAAACAAAGAAATTAATGAATTAGAAAACAGATAAATAAAATTAACAGAGTCAAAGTACAGCATGCTACTGTGATTCAAACCACAGCTAATCAAAAATAGCAACTCTGATCCATTACGGACTCTAGGGTTCTGTACTTGGCATCTCCTTCTAGGTCCTCGGGGTTTGGCGTGGGACTTAGGTCATGCGGTGACACCGTTACGACAGTATTAATTTTGACGCACTGGTACCAGAATGTGACTTTTCTCTCTACCGATCTGTTAGCTTTAGTTCTCTCGCTCGCACTATAAACTTCTACCCTGAATGCAGAAGTCACGGGATCTGTTGAGCGTTCTAATTTTCAAATCACTTACTGCATCCAAACACTTCCTGACGCTTTCCCTCTGCTAGTGGTAGGCGCATCCGACAGGCTGGTTATTACCTGAACGAGGGCATGAATCTTAAGTCCAGATTCTTTGATGAGATCGTAGTATTTTTCCATCCGGTTGCGCTGGTCATCCATGGAAAGGAGACATTCCTTTTTTCCATCTTTTCTCTTAAATATCGGAGACACCCATGTTTTCATGATGTTTTGAATCTCTTCCACGTTGTCTTGGGCTTTCTGAATCCTTTGTTCGAGATCATGAACGCTGTCGGTGATTTGAATGACATAATCCCAAATGCCTGCTCCCCAAAAGAAATACATTTAATTGAAAGAGTTAAAGGTCTAGTCGCTACGGAAGGTACGGATTTAATATCTGTAGGTTTCAAAAGGCTTTCTTGCACAAGTTATTTTGTTAGCACCGGAGTCTTTTTCTTCCTGGCTGTGTTGAAAAGCCAATGTTTACCATCACCCTGCTTATGGAGGAAAAGAAACGAGGAGGTAAGGCTTACCAACCAAGTGCACAGAAATCGTCATAGTTGCTGGGGCACACCAGTGCACCATCATGATTGTATTTGGGTTATGGACCTTCTGAAAAGCACTTTCGTCTCATTAAATGTTGAAAACAGGGGCGCCTGGGTGGCTCAGTCGGTTAAGCGGCTGACTTCGGCTCAGGTCATGATCTCACGGTCCGTGAGTCCAAGCCCCGTGTGGGGCTCTGTGCTGACAGCTCAGAGCCTGGAGCCTGCTTCCGATTCTGTGTCTCCCTCTCTCTCTGACCCTCCCCCATTCGTGCTCTGTCTCTGTCTCAAAAATAAACATTAAAAAAAATTAAAAAAAAAAAACGTTGAAACATTGCTCCCTCTTGCACATAAAATAAAGTTCTAACTCGTTTAATATGGCGTTCCAAGACTTCTGTGAGTTGATGGTGACCTCCTTTGCAAACATGAACTCTTTCGAGGACTCTAATGAGAATTAATCTCCCTCCCCTGTGATTTGGCACACTTTATTTTTAACTCTGTGAAGGCTTTTTATCATAGCCTGTCTTGGGTGATTTATGGTTGTACATATGTCTGTTGGTCCCACTAAACGTGAGTTCTTTGAGGGTAGGAGCCACGTCCCATACACCTCATATTCCAAGTGCTGTTGAGGTCCCTTACATAGTACCCTGCAAAAGTTAATCCATCAATGAAAGTACTGAATTGGAAGAAACACAAGAAATAAATCATGGTACCCTCACTTAAGATGTCTACAATCTAGGGGTGCTTGGCTGGCTCAGTCGGTGGGACATGGGACTCTTGATCTCAAGGTCATGAGTTTGAGCCCCATGTTGGGGGTGAAGATTATTTAATAAATAAAAAAAAAGTTTTACAAAAAGGTGTCTATATTTTAGTGACAAAAATTAAGTGACAGTGATGATATAAGAAAAGCCCTCATTCACGGAGTGCCCAATATATGTTGGAGACCTCAGGGTATGTCACACAAACCCTGAGCCTCCCCAGACGAGGTGGTGGCAACATCCTCTCAGTCTACCAATCATATCCAAAGAGAAGGAAGAAAAGGAATTCTTGCCTTCTCTGCTTTGGATACATGTCTCAGAGGCTAGGCTTGTGTTTCAAGCTCAAATCCGGTTACTGGGGGAGTCATTCAAGTTCTACCAACTTTATCAGGATCCTGACCCCCAACCCCCTGCCCAGATTCCAGGCAGTGCCCTGCTACCTTCCGTTTTCCAGTTCAGAGTCTCTTCTGCAGCTTTCAGGCAGAGATCGATATTCCCCAGCTCTTTCTCCAGGAATGGCAATTCCACCTCTACAAGAGTTTTCATAATCTTGTTGTACCAATTCGCCATCAGTTCCAACTTCGCCACGAGCTGCCGATAGAATTCCCTGGAGGAGAACATGGCTGCTGCTGTCTGAGGAACATGTCGCATCTGCCTCGATTGAAGATAACTCATTTCCTTCAGCACCGAAGTCAGCTGGAAGAGCAAATTGGCATTAAAGTGGTTACAGCTCCGTGGCAGTAAAGGGTGGCAATCATCAGTCAAGGACTAGAAAACCCCAGGAGCCCAAAGACCTTCGTAACGGGTCCCTTCGTAACGTTTGCTCCTACCTGCTCCTTCCATCTAGAGAAGGGAAACTGAGTTTTGAAATTGAGAAAGCAGAGGACTCAGACGCAGCAAGGCTTACCAAGTCCGTCAAGTCCGTCAATCCCAAAGAGTAACAAAAACAACGCTGGACAGATTACCCTGATGCTTTCGGGCACATGGCTGATGCAGTGACAGGCTCACCCCAATGAGGTCACGCACACACAGACGCGGACAGAGCTGAGAGGAGATGCTATTGTACGAGTTTCATTGTTAAATGGAACCACTGGAAATAGCCCTTCGTTTCTGTGAGCCTGTGCCGGCACGCCTTTGTGTCACCCAGGCCTCTCTGAACGTCTGTGGGCACGGAGTTCAGTGGAACTGAAGGGTGAGAGGCGAAGCAGACGTGGGCCAATGGAAAAAGAGACCTCTGGCTGGGTTGCTAGGTATTGCGGTCTTCGCTATTTATTGCGTTTACCTCTGAACCCACGAGGACAGATGTGTATTAGTGTGGGCAACAAAACACCCCAGAGATACTTCCCACCCGCCTCCCACTCCCCTCCCCTTTGCATGGAGACACCTGGGCTCCCAGCTCTCCTCACAGTGGCTCTTGGGTCAGTGCTCCGCTGCGGCCCAGCCAACCCTACTCAGGATGAAGGCAAATGCTAACCATCTGGTGGGGAAATGGCTTCAGTCTCCTACTTTGTTTGAAATAAGCTCAAGACGGATATTAAAAATTTAAGTGTAAAAACTGAAAACAAAATTAAAACATCAGGGCTACTTATATAATACTGAGGGGGAGAAGGCCCTTCCAAACATACAACCGGAAAATAAAATATAAAAGGTTGCAGGCATTAAATATCGTTCACGTAATAAAACGGCACATTTCAACAGGTCTGAAACATATGCAATGGATTTCTTAATATGGGACAAATATTTCCCAAATATTCTAACAAATTCACAGGAAAAGAGGGCACTTCCACTCCGAAGTGAGCAAGAGACACGAACAAGTGATTTGTAGAAGAACTATGACCGGCCAATGAACAGATGAGAAGGTTCTACTTTACTAGTGGCCAAATAAATACAAATTAAAACAATGTTGAGAACTATATTTAGTTCAACAGGCTAGGGGTGATTTGAAGAAATGGATATCTTCCTGGAAGAGATATGACCGAGTTCCATCTTCCTGAAGAACCCATTGATGACGTATATGTGAATCCTCACAATGTGAACACCCTTTACCCCATTTCCAGGCCTTTATCCCACATAAATCATCGAGGACGGGCACAACAATAACTAAGAATGTTTCCTATAGCTTTATTTATACTGTATTTTATTTCTTTCCAACATGCTTCAATGTTAAGATTCTCTACTATTTCATTTCCAACTAGGGAAGAAAAATGCGGTTAAACTATAAACACGTGCCATTTTCAGAGATGCGAAGATGTAACAAAAAAAGGAAAAGTATATCTTTCGATCAGTGAAATACAGATTGATAAAACGAGAAAATAATTTCAATATCCCATAATAGGGCATTTAAAACACTTTAAATAATTTGCAAAAGAATTTTTTTTTCTGGCCCCAGAGGGGCAGATCAGATCATGTCCCTCTAGAATGATACACGTGTCACTGTCCATTCTTACTAGCACGGCCACTGTCATGTTGCTCGAAGCTGGAAACAGGGACACATACAGCTCCTCTTTGACTTGTGTTTGGTTGTCTCCCCTTAACTCACTTTATAATTCAGGTATTCCCTCTCCCCCTTTCTTGTCTCTTTCACTCTCCGCTCTTTCCTTCTATCACCTACGAACACTTCGAAAGTGCCTACTATGTGCTGCACATTGGGAGAGAGAAAGAGTCCTTGCTCTGGAGTATACAGAGGAAGAGTGGTCCATCCTCAAAACTGTCTCGTCCTGAGGGCTTCATTCCTACAGTTATAACCTCTGGACTGTGGCTTCGTGGGTAACCCAGTCCCTCCTCTGTTTGGGCATTTAACAATCAACATTGCTCACGGTGAATGCCGACAAAATTATGCCAAGGAGTTAAATGAGTCAAACGACAGGCTTATGTGCTACCAAAGTGAAGAAATGGACCCTCCAACCCCCTTTGTTGACTCTGATCGCCGTCAGAGTCGATGTTCTACTTAAACTGTAATTTTCTCAAAAGACACTCACATGCTATCAGCTTAGTTTCTGGCTCTCTCTACCTCGAGAACATGCCATTGATACAGAAGTCGGTGACTGCGTTTAGCTCAGCATGGCCTATGCTTTTAAGTTTTTTTTTTTTTTTTTTTTTTTCCGATATACTTCCTGATATGGGCTGGCTTTTCGTTATCACGTTCTCTGGCATGAAGTTTTCCACATTGCTACAGCCCACGGTGGTCTTCAACTCTTCTGATCGCCTAGAGCAGGGGCTCTCAATCTCAGCACTCCTGACATTTTCAGACAAAAACTCTTGCTTGTGGGGTGCCATCCTGAGTGTCATGGGAAGTTTAGCTGCATCCTTAAGAATCTGCTCATCCTACACCATTGGCACCCAGTCCATGACGGACAACCCAAAATATCTCCAAGGGGACTAAATTGCCCCAGGTGAGAACCAGTAATCTGAGTCTTATTTCCAAAGCTACTCCAAGGAGATTTATCACATATAATCTAATAAAGGTAGACTTTTGCATGTTGAGGTCCTAGCTCCCAACTAGCTGGTGGGTTCCTTGAGGGCAGGCATAGCAATACCTGTTACCTATTTAAATACTTTCTCGAATTCCAGATGGTGCACACCTAGAATAGGATATGTAAACTTTTGGATGAGTTTATCTTTAAAAAAAAAATTTTTTTTTTAATGTTTATTTATTTTTGAGACAGAGAGAGACAGAGCATGAACGGGGGAGGGGCAGAGAGAGAGGGAGACACAGAATCGGAAGCAGGCTCCAGGCTCTGAGCCATCAGCCCAGAGCCTGACACGGGGCTCGAATTCCCGAACCGTGAGATCGTGACCTGAGCTGAAGTCGGACGCTCAACCGACTGAGCCACCCAGGCGCCCCTGGATGAGTTTATCTTGAACGCAATTACCGTTCTAACTTTGTATGTGGAGTCGAGTTCATAACAAAGCTGTTATCACCCAACTATGAAAGTTAAAAACATATTCTGCTGTATTTTCTGTTGTGCAAAATTGACACAAACGTATTGACCAACCACGGAGAAAAATGAGGACACTGGACAACATAAGTAAACAACGCACCGCGGGATTCATCCCGAAAGGGAGATCCGGGGTGGAAATTCTCTCGGGCAGCTTCTGCAATTTCTTATAAAACGCCTCTGTAGCCTTTGAAATCAGCAGAGTTGGGGAGCCTGGGTGGCTCAGTCGGTTAAGCGACCGACTTCAGCTCAGGTCATGATCTCACAGTTCCGTGGGTTCGAGCCCCACATCGGGCTCTGTTCTGACAGCTCAGAGCCTGAAACCTGTTTCAGATTCTGTGTCTCCCTCTCTCTCTCTGCCCCTACCCTGTTCATGCTCTATTTCTGTCTCAAAAATAAAAAATGAACAGTAAAAAAAAAAAAAATATTAAAAAAAAAAAGAAATCAGCAGAGTTAAAGGAGTCTCTTCAGGAACCCACAAGGAAATTCCTACTGCCTTACCTGTGGGTTAAAGTTGACGGCGATCTGCTTCGTCTCTGGGTCACGTTTCAGAAGTGGCTGGGAAAGATTGTACTGTGACTTCTCCGACACGGCCTGACACCAGTCTTCATAAAGTCTCGTCTCGTACCTGCGGGGACCAGAGACAACAGTCACCTCTGAAGCACCCTCCCAGCGCCCGGCAATGACCCGCTAAAGACAGAGATCTATTAATGTGTATATGACCTAGATATCTACATAGGTATATGTGCACATCTATAGCAAAAACTGAAGGTACCATCAGTAAAATGCCTGGCTACGTTCTTAGGTCAAAGTCATTGACTCGGCTTTCAAAAGGTAGCACAGCTGAAATGAGAACCTGGTCGAGAGGCTCCATGCAATCTTTAGAGGAGATAAAGGGAGTTGTGATTAGTCTCATTAACCACGGGAAGAAGTTATTGGGCAAGATTTGCTCTCACCCTAACCTTCATGCGGCTCAGACATCCGTCGCTCAGCCGTTACCCGATGACTGAAAACGTGATGAATAAACACCCCACGGTAAATGCTAAGGCCCTGGACCACGGGTAAACGGAAAATACAGAAGTACAACCCTGGAGAGATGTACCGGGCATCGGGCATCTAGTGGTGGGGATGAGAGTGTGATAAGGAGAATGCCAGGAAGGCTGCATGGAAGAGGGGCTGAGGCGAGGCTTGACGGAGTCTCAAAGGATGAGCACAGGTAGGAGAGTGAAAGGGAAATGGATGTCCCCCAGCAGAAGCATCGGCACCACCACAGGGCAGAGAAGAGACACATGGAGTGTGATCTTGGAACGGCTGAGGCCGGAGGGGGGAAGGGATGAGGCTGGAGAGGGAGGCAAAGGCCACAGCGAGGGCTTTTCGGGTCACGTGAAAGTGACAAGAGCCAGTGGGAGGCACTGAAGGGCTCCCCAGCCCGGGCATGCGGTGACATCACCGGATTTGCTGAGACTGTGGGCATCACAAGCTGAACCACAAGACTTAACCGCAGCTTCAGAGCAGGAACTAAGAGTCCGTGTGAACTGTCATTCTTCTGTTTTCTCCGTAAGAGGACGCAGGAAGTACTTTTAAAACTTATTTTCTCTTTGCGCAGCACAAACCGTTGCTTTCTGCTTCGCGAGCGGCTGCTGTGATTTCCCGGGACACCGATCTCCCGGTGTCCCGAGGAGCGCCCTACTTCCTCGGGCTCCGCCAAGTTCATGCTCCCAACCGAACTACCCTGGAAAGCGTCTGTTCCTAGAACAGAGCCGCGTTCCCCAGAGACCCAGAAGCGCTGGACTCACAGACACCGTGGTTTACATCCTAAAACAGTGACATTGCACAGCCACTGAGGAATCTACGTGAAACCGGTAACCACAGAAGGCATCACGGGGGCGGGGAGGGGGGCCGGGGGTGGCTATGCCATTTGCAGAACAATACGATGCCAGAAGCCGCTTACTTGTCGAGCAGTGAGAGCAGATCTTCATATTTTTGTGTCATTCGCTTTCCTTCGGCAGATTCCAGGCAACTATCCACACAAAAGGGGGGGGGGATGGCATCGATTTAGAGGTCAAAATAATAATCAAAGTAACAAACTGCACCTGTTCCCCGCGTCCTTCTCGCCAGTGTCGTCCACCGGCCACTAGAGGGCATCTGCACTTCCTGAATTGCAGGCCGACCCCCAGGTGACAGGGACAGTGAACCCCACCCCATCCCACTCCGCCCCACGCTGGGCTCCACCAACCCCCTCTCCTAGCCCAGCCAGTCATGCATGGGCAAGTGAAGTCCTTCCAAAATCTGAATTAAAAAGGAAATTGAGACGAAAGGAACATTCTAGGTGCTACAGTTTTCTGTATTTAAGGGAAAAAACTACATAATGTTATGAATTATAACATAATAAAACTACACAACATCAAATATAAAAACAATATTGAAAACTTTTTTAATGTTTGTTTAATTTTGAGAGAGAGAGAGCATGAGCGAGGGAGGGGTAGAGAAAGAGAGCAGGAGACAGAATCCGAAGCAGGCTCCAGGCTCTGAGCTGTCAGCACAGAGCCTGACGTGGGGCTCGAACTCACAGACTTTGAGATCATGACCTGAACTGACATCAGATGCTTAACTGACGGAGCCACCTAGGCGCCCCCAAAACAATATTTTGTATACATTTGTATAAAGTGACACCTGATGTGTGTATACATATATATGTATACATGTCTACATGTACATACGTATATATGTATATGTATACATGTATATATGTCACACACATGTATATGTCTCCTCTGAAATCCTTCTAGGACATATGATGACAAAACTTCCTACCCATTACTCACTGACACCTCAATGCAAGTTTCCCCTCCCACCTCTTATGCCCCCCCATACGTGAACACACACGTGGACAGAGGCTTCCGCAGGGACGCTGGGGGCCACATGGCATGTAAGCAGGGTCCGGCTGGAGGCACCGTTACCCACACTGTCGCCCGGTTGTGATGTTCCTTTGCAACACGAAATGAGAGTCCAGCCTCTGGGAACATCGGCGAAGTGTCTGTAATTTTCAGACACCTTCACGCTGACTGTGTGGGAGCGTCTGTTTCTGTTTGTTCTCCCGGCTGATTGCAAAGATTTTTTAAAACCCATTTGCTCCTTAACCCAACACAACGGTTCTCCACCAGATATCCTGAGCTCTCAGGATAAGCCCTCGTGCCTGCCGAGAAAGCATTGGATTTCCTGGCGTTTTATTCCCAGTCCTTAGTCCCCGTTCCCGGTGAAGGAGCAGGTGTGGCTGGGGAGGCAGCGAGGAGGCGAGAGAAGGGCTTTGGACCAGGTGGGCTGGCTCCCCCCAGCTCTCCCCTCCCGAGCCGTGGGATTTCTGCAAGCCTCAAGACGCCGGATCCCAGTTTTGTTTCTGGAGAAGAGTGAGGCCAGAGGGGAGAAGGGTTTCTCACACTGGGGGCCCGTGCCAGTCGCCTGGAAGTTTCAGGAGCCACAGGAATAATTGCAAACTCCCTGTGGGTTCTCCTTCCCTTCGTGGTGAGGAATGGAAAACGTTCTTTACAGCCAGTTCATACAGGCAGTTGACCCCTAAGCAACGTGGGAGTGAGGGACGCCAACCCCCACGCAGGCAAAAATCCGCATATAACTTTGGACTCCCTAAAAACTTAACTATTAACAGCTACTCTTGCCTGGAAGCCTTACAGATACCCCAAACTGTCCATGAACACGTACGTTTTACGTTATATACGTTATACGTTGTATTCTGGCAATAAAGGAAACTAGAGAGAAGATGGTAAGAAAATCACAGGGAACAACACCATAAAAACTCCGTCTGGGCAGCGCGCCCAGCAGCCCCTGGGTCTGTCTCTGGCCTCAACACCTTGTGCAAGGAACAGACCCGGTGCCAACCTGCTTCTTCCAGTCTCCCGGCACCCTCCTACCTCTTTCCCCGATGCAATCTTTGGAATCATCCTGTCAGCCATGCCCTGCCTCCAGGACCAGCCAACAGCGTCTACCGGGCTTAGCTCCTTGTTGCTGACCAACCACGAGCTCCCAGATTCGTCAGAATCATTCCACCGCTGTGGAGGCCACCGTCAACTGCCTGATCAACCTGCACCTGCACGCCTCCTACACCTGTCTCTCCGGGCTTCTACCTGGATGCACTGATGCGGCTCCGGAGGGCTGGGCCACTTCTCCTCCTAGTTGGCAGAGAAGCGTGAGGGTGTCCAGCGTCTCTCGAAGTCACAAACCCAGCAGAGCTGATGCGCCTGTTCCAGAAGGCGAAGAAGCCATCCCGAGATGGGAGAGGTGAAGCCTGCCACGCCACGGAAGCTTCCACGCTTCTGGATGAGAAGCTGAACCAGCTCCTGCTGGATCCGCTTGCCCTGGGTCCCACGAGCACAGGCCCCACCTCTGGGAATCCCGAGAACCACGTCCCAGAGGGGCAGGTGAAACTCCTCAAGAAGACGGTAACCAGCTGGCCCACCTCCGCGGGCTGGCCTGACCGCCTCTAGGCGGGTAGCTCCTCCCCTTGTCAAGCACAAGAAGGGGACCCTGCACCTCCTTTCTGCGTACCCTGCTCAGGTTGAGGTTTCGGCCTGAACTTACTTTTCCCTGCAGCCTCCAGGCAGCTTTTAACCACCCCTGACCAAATGGAAACAATAAAACTTCTTGTAGCAAAAGAAAAGAAAAAAGAAAAAAAAAACTGCATGTAAATGTAGCCACCCAGTTCAAACCCATGTTGTTCAAAGGTCAGCTGTATATTACAGAGCAAGGTGCTGCAAATGTGAATTCATTTTTAAACAAAGGGGAATTTTCAGGGGGGACCACAGAGGACACCTTGGGTGCCGTTCAGATCCCCTCTCCAGGCCCAGGCCCTCTTGCCATCCTCCCATCCCCCCTGGGCTAGACACATTGGCTGCTGATGAAACACAGCTGCCTGCCTCTTGGGGGAACAGCTGCGGCCAGAGAGCCCCTCGCCCAAGGTCATGCCCCTCCCCTCCGACAACCCACATCCACGTGCACGTTTGAGAAGATGGGGCTCAGCGTATCCTGGGCCACGGTGCCGGTGGCTGGGGGCTTCCCGGGGAAGAGTGCTGGGCCAGGGTCTCAAGACCCCAGACTCTGTTCCAGTTCTTTCTGGGAGCTCTCCCTGGGACTGTGGTGAGCCTGTCACCTCATTTCCGTTTTCCTCCCTTTCTTCATCTGCAAAACAAAGAGCTCGGCTAGCTCAGACCAGATCAGATGTTGCCAACGGATCGCCTGCAGGGCAGACCTGACCCGCTGTTTATCGGATGGGTGTGGAGTTTGAGAGCAGGTGGTAACTCTGAAGTTGGGCGTTTTACACACACGCCGGGATTTTCAGCTCCTCTGAGTGGGGGGAGCGCTCCTACGGAGTCCGCTTTTCCACTGGGCAGCGCTGGATGGGGTGCTGGTGACCCCCCTGTGGGACCCCAGCCTGGCCAGTCTTCCGTTTTTCTTCCCCGGCCCCTGAAAGCGTTCAGTCCTGCCACCTGCACCAGAGGGTCGCCGGCGTCCTACCCGATGCCAAAAACACCTGGGAGGCCAGGGTCTCAACGCTTGGTTGCCGTTTTGTTTGCCAAAGCTGAGCGCCCTCAACGGAGACTCTTTGGAAAGAGGGGTCAGAGAAAGACCGCCCTTTCCCGAAGCATCCTGAATGTGATCCCGCAGCCGAGGCGCCTCTACGTAGCCCAGCTTCCAGATTGTCGAGCCGGTGGTTTCCAAACCTGGTCAACCATCAGAATCACGGGGTGGGGGGAGCTTGCTAAGGAAGCAATTCAGAGGCCCCATCCTGCTTCGCGGTTCGGATTCAGTAGTGGGAGGTGAGGCCTGGGAAGCTGCGTGTAACAAGAGCCCCAGGTATTCGAACAGGCGAAGACTTTACAGCACGCTTTAGCAGACACTGGGCTTCTCTATTTTCCAGCAGCCTCAGTAGCCAGGAGACGCTGTGTTAGAGGAGACTGGTAGGAGAGCCCCAAAGAGCTGGAAAACCGGACTCCTTTGCCTCTAGAAAGGACCCTCGGGGCACGTGGGTGGCTCAGTAGGTTAAGCGTCGGGCTCAGGTCGTGATCCCACGGTGAGTTGGCGTGTGGGGCTCTGGGCTGACAGCTCAGAGCCCGGAACCTGCTTCAGGGTCTGTGTCTCCCTGTCTCTCTCTCTCTCTGCCCCTCTGTCGCTCTCTGTCTCTCTCAAAAATGAACATTAAGAAAAAGAAATCAATCTGATGGAGCAAAAAAGGGGCAGCCTGTCATCCATGAAGCCTCATTTTGCACCAACGGTCCCCTAATGAGTCCAAATGTATCAATCTCGTTACTGCATGTTTGTGTTCCCTCCCACACCAAAATTCACATGTTGAAATCCTACTCTCCATGTGATGGCATTAGGAGGCAGGGCCTTTCGGGAGTGATTAGGGCATGAGGGTGGAGCCTCATGGAGGGGTGGAGCCTCGTGAAGGTGGTGGAGCCTCGTGAAGGCGGTGGGGCCTTGCGAAGGGGGTGGGGCCTCGTGAAGGGAGTGGAGCCTCATGGAGGGGGTGGAGCCTCATGTAGGAGTGTAGCCTCGTGAAGGGGGTGGAGCCCCGTGAAGGGGTGGAGCCTCATGTAGGCGGTGGGGGGGGGCTCAGGGGAGGGGCCTCGCGAAGGGGGTGGAGCCTCATGAAGGCGGTGGAGCCTCATGTAGGCAGTGTAGCCTCCTGAAGGGGGTGGAACCCCGTGAAGGGGTGGAGCCTCATGTAGGCAGTGGGGGGGGGCCTCATGAAGGGGGTGGAGCCTCGTGAAGGGGTGGAGCCCCGTGAAGGGGTGGAGCCTCACGTAGGCAGTGTAGCCTCGTGAAGGGGTGGAGCCCCGTGAAGGGGTGGAGCCTCATGTAGGCGGTGGAGCCTTGTGAAGGGGGTGGTCCCATGAAGGGGTGGAGCCTTGTGAAGGGGGTGGAGCCCTGTGAAGGGGTGGAGCCTCATGGCAGGGGTGGGGCCTCGTGAAGGGGTGGAGCCTCATTAAGGAATTAGTGTCCTATTAAGAAGAGGCTCCACGGAGGTCCCTTGTCCCACCTGCCATGTGGACACAGTGAGGGGACAGCCATCTGTGAACCAGGGTGTGCCTCACCACACACCAAATCTGCCGGCACAGTGATCTTGGACTTGCCAGCCTCCAGAGGTGTGAGAAGGGCCTCTGGTGTTTATAGGCCACCAGGTCTGTGGCACTCTGTACAACAGCCCAAACGGACTTAAGATGCTGGTCTACTGCTGAAAAGGGAAAGAAATGAAGGTGATTTTCATGCCTTAGGGAAGTGAGCTGCATTTCTCCAAAAATCCAGAGCAGGAGCTGAAGCCTAAAACGCACCCGCCTTCGAAGGGGGTCGGTTACTCACGGATGTGCGATGCGTCTGAAGTTGGCGAAGGGGCCCTGGATACGCTGCCGCAGCTCCTGTGCCCAGCGGAGACCCCCGGCCACAGTGGGCATGTTCTTGTGCACGGCGGCGAACCCTGGGGACACGGCACAGGCAGACTGAAGGAGGCCCGCCCCCGGCCTCACTCTGCCCAGGAATACCCGCCCCCCCCTACTTTTTGCCTCAGTACCTCCACCTGCTAAAGTCACCCTGTGCCCACACTGAGATGGGGGTGGGTCCCGGGAGATCGGCCTGTAGGCTAAGGAGTAAGGAGGAGGGGCCTGGGGGAGAACACCAAATGGGGTCCGAGGACAGGGGTGCCCAGCCCAGCGCTGCCCCTCACTGGCTTTCTGACTCCACACCTGGGACTTTCCACCTGCCTGCACATCAGCATCACCTGGGGGCTCTTAAAAAAATCCCGGGGCACCTGGGTGGCTCAGTGGGTTAAACATCTGACTCTTGATTTCAGCTCAGGTCATGAAGTCACCGATCATGGGATCCAGCCCTGCTTGGGGCTCTGGGCTGACAGTGTGGAGCCTGCTTGGGATTCTCTCTCTCCACCTCCCCCTCTTTGCCCCCCGCTCCTGCTTTCTCTCTCTCTCTCTCAAAAATAAATAAATAAATAAATAAATAAATAAATAAATAAATAAATAAATAAACAAACTTAAAAAAATTACTAATGCTTGGACCCTGACTCAGCCATTCTGATTTAATTGGTCTGGGTGGGGCCCAGTCATCTGTATTTTTAAAAGCTCTGGAGATGATTTCAATTGCACATTCAGGGTTGAAAACACTGCCTTAAACAGACAATAGAAATCTCTTTGGGCCTCAGTTTTTTCATCTAGAAAATGGGAATACTATCTTCCCTGCTTCATTTCCAGGGTTTCTGTGAAAATTCACTAAGATGATGAATGAGACAGGCCATGTGGGTTGTGAATCACTTGCCCAGCGTCAGCACAGCCTGGATGCTCTTACTTTAGTCCAAACAGTGGGTTTCTTTGCTCACTTGTCAGGATTCAACAGTGATTAGATTTCATTTTTTAAGACAAATTTTTAAAACTTATTTTTTCCATTTATTTAATTCGAGAAAGAGAGAGTGAGGAGAGGAGCAGAGAGAGAGAGAGAGAGAGAGGGACAGAGAGAATCCCAAGCAGGCTCCGCACTGTCAGTGCAGAGACCGACGTGGGGCTCAGACTCACGGATGTGAGATCATGACCTGAGCTGAAACCAAGAGTTGGACACTTAACCGACTGAGCCACCCAGGTGCCCCTGGATTCCATTTCTTGAAAAAAATCTCAGTTGGAAGAGTTGGCAAGAACCAGCCACCACTTCTAACTAGCAAGTGTAGCTGAATAGTGGTCTCTTCCTTATTTTACCACAGACCCCACTGCTCCCTGATGTTGTACCCTCAACCCTGATCTGTTACAGTCACATTCTGCCCGGCCTCCACAGCAGGGCAAAATACTAAGATGACACCAATGACCCTAACCCTTGCATAATCCTCTCCTCTTCAGTGTGTGTGTGTGGGGGGGGGGGGGGAACCAGATACGATCGAGAAATCAATCCAGTGATGACGCTATGTTAGATAGCGGAAGAGAGATGATCCTGGGTGGGCCTGACTTAATCAGGTGAGTCCTTTTAAAGCAGAACATTTTCTCTGGTGGCTGGAAGGAGAAGTCAGGGATTCAGGAAGCCATACCTGGCTTGAAGATGGAGGCATGGGCGTGCCATCCAGTCACTAAGTGGCCCCCCCCCCCAGCCCCTCCGCCAACAGCCAACGAGGAATTGCAGACCTTGGGGCTACAGTCACAAGGCACTGGATTCTCCCAACGAAATGAGCTCGAAAGCGTATTCCCCCCACTCCCTGGGACCTCCTGATGAGAACTTGGCCCTGGTCAACGCTGTGATTTCAGCCCTGGGCCACTCTCAGTGGAGATCAAGGCACATCATGCTGGGCTCCGACCTACAGAACTTTAGAAACGTTTGTTTGTAAAGTTTATTTATTTTGAGAGAGAGAGAGAGAAAGGTAAAGCACACAAGCAGGGGAGGGGCAGAGAGACAGAGACAGAGAGAGAGAAAGAGAGAAAGAATCCCAAGCAGGCTCCGTGCTGTCAGTGTAGAGGCCGACGTGGGGCTCAGACTTATGAACCATGAGATCATGACCTGAGCAGAAACCAAGAGTCGGACACTCAATCAACTGAGCCACCCAGGCGCCCCTAAGAAGCAGTTCTTAATGACCTCCCTGGGAACTTGCAAACCTCTTGATAGATGCAGTGGTCCTACTACTCTGTTACTTAAAAACCCTGGAAAATTTCCCATTACCCGAATAATGAACCCCAGATTCCTAAATATGGCACTCAGAGAAGGTGATATTGTTGCCCCCAAACTCTGTGACTAACATAATCTCCCCATGTAACCTCCTTTGGCTGAGGCAGGTGCCACCCATCACCTTCCTCTCCTGTCTCTGCTTCAGAGGCCTTTGCCATTTCTCCCTGGCTGTCTATCCCCCGACCTTGCAGGGCTCAGCTCAAGGCCACCTACCCCACACACTCCCCTCAGACCTCCCGGCCATAAGCTGTCTTGTTTCATTACCGTTCGCTGTGACTCAAGTTGAACATCGCCTGTGTTCTCTGCTCTGCATTACTGTTAAGTCTGTTCATGTCTGATGTGTTCCTTGAAGGACAACCCTTTAGTATTAATTACTTTATCCCTTACCCTGGCCTGCCTCTGTATACAGTGCCCACAAAGGTGCCCTGCATATAGTGAGGATTCAAGAAATGCTTGTAGAGCAGAACTGAACTTGTGTTTGACTTCAGATCAGGTAAGACGGGGCATCTAAGAATTGCGGCAAAAATGGAGACGTCATGGGGCGCCTGGGAGGCTCAGTCGGTTAAGCGTCCGAGTTCGGCTCGGGTCATGATCTCCAGTCCGTGGGTTTGAGCCCCACGTCGGGCTCTGTGCTGACAGCTCGGAGCCTGGAGCCTGCTTCGGAATCTGTGCCTCCCTCTCTTTCTGCCCCTCCCCTGCTCATGCTCTTTCTCTCTCTCTTTCTCTCAAAAATAAATAAAGGTTAGAAAATTTTTTTTTTTCAAGAATGGAGACATCACACCTTGGCACGGACCTGCTGTTTGTCAGCCTCCTGCAGGGTCCCCCCTCCAGAAGCAGGGTTTGCTATGGTGTCAGAAGGGAGCAGAAACTTTCCCCAGGCGTGTAGAAATCCGTTGTGGAACTTTCCCCAGGCGTGTAGAAATCCGTTGTGGAAATCTACGCTGGAGATTGATCAGTGTGGCAACATTGATCAAGGGTCAACTCATGCATTGTGCTAAGGTCTCAGCCAGAAGCAGTCGGGACTTCAGTGCTCTGGGTCGGCTGCCAGTCGCAGCCCCAGACACAGGGAAATGCACGGGTCAGTGAATTCTATAATTGCCCAAGGCAGCCTGAGATTTCAAGCAGGAAGACTGTGCTCTCTTTTCTGGGAGGATGTCATGGACCCACCGTGGCCATTTAACGGACACCAGAGGGTTGAGTTGCACCCTTGCTGGTAACAGAACTCCCCCATTCAAATCCGCTCGCCACAAACCTACCAAGTTCCGCCTCCTCCTGGACGCGCTGACTGTAGATCACCCTCACGGTATCCAGGTCTTTGTGGAACATTCGGACAAACAGCAGGTACTTCTCAGATGCATCCTGCGCTATCAGTGGCCTTTCCAGAAGGTTCCCTGCTATGTCTAGCAGCTGCGGAGGAGGCAGAGAGAGAAGAAGAAAAAGTCACAGATCCAACCTTTCTAAGTACAGCTTGTTTCCTGGCTATTTCTTTCACATGTCCGCTGGCGGCAGAGGGTCGAAAACTGTTGAGTCAATGATTATAAATAGGTGGATATTCATAGTCGCCCCTCCCTCCTTTGCTTCTAAAGGAGAAGGAGACCTGTCTGCTGAATTAGCCGCCAGACTCTCACGTGTTGAGAGACCCTGAGTAAAGGATTAAACAAAGAGAAAGCTAAAGATGTCAGAGAGCTGAGCTTCATTAAAAAAAGAGAACTAAAACAGAAATAGAGATGAGGCAAAGAAGCTAACTGAGCTAGGGGTGCTTGGGTGGCTCAGTTGGCTAAGCATCTGACTCTTGATTTAGGCTCAGGTCACGATCTCACGGTTCATGAGTTCGAGCCCTGCGTCCGGCTGTGTGCCGACGGCACAGAGCCTGCTTGGGAGTCTCTCTCTCCCTTGCTCTCTGCCCCTCCCCTGCTCCCTCTCTCTCCCAAAATAAATAAATAAACTAAAAAAAAAAAAAAAACCTAAGTGGGCCAGGTGTTGGGGAGAATGTGGAAGGCTCAAATTTGAGGGTGGCGAGCAAGAAAAAAGTTTCAGAGAGAACTAATTCTGGAACTAATTTCCGGAATGAGTTCAAAGGCTTGGAGAGAGGAATCCTACAAGTGTTTCCCCATGAGTTATGGGGCCGCACTGTTTATGAAAGGTCATGTGTCTCTATGCTCGATGGCTAACGAAGGCTGGCATGCTGGATCACCCACTATCCCAGAATGGCACGGACTCACCCACCCAGGGCTTGAGCCTTTTCTACAACTGTCTCACTGGTCATCGAGGCTACCTGAGGACATTTTCAGCGACTGGACACTCATCGACTTCTCGGAGAAGTCCATTCCGCCTTTCGCAGAAATCTCTCCCCTCCACAGAGCCCAAATTGGCCTCCTTATAACTGCCACCGGTCAGTCCTTGTTCTAATCTCCAAGTCTTTACAGAGTGGAAGTTCCTTTGCAGTTTAGAGAAGATCGGTCACGTGCCGTGAAGGCATCGTGCCTCACGACTCAGAGGTCTCAGTGTGCACCCACTGTCCACTTGTCCTGTGCCTTCTCCTCCCTATTCCTGCTCCAGCTGGCCCCTGACGGACTTCCAACTCTAGCAGCTGGTAGCTGACCCCTACAACCACTTATGGGGGGGTTTGCTCCGGCGTGAATCAGCCCTGCGGCACTGGTTAAATAGCCCAGGTTTTCAGGGGGGCGACCGCAAGTAGGCTTCTTCACTTCTAATGGGCACGCTCGGGATAAGGCCCAGAGAGAACATTCTAGAATAAACTCTTTTGGAAAGTATTTTCACATCGTCGTGTTTCTAGGAAAGCATTAATGATCAACCTGAGAGCCCTAGTTCTGCCCAGTCCCTTTGCCTAGTTCTCCCACGACACCGTTCTAGAAGACCCACAGGAACAATTGACATCTGCAGGGACAAAACCATTGGAAGAGGGGCCTTGTCCCCCCCCCCAGCTGAGGGTGGGGACAGAATGGAGCACAGTGGCGGCTCCTACCCGTCTGCCCCCCGCTGCACAAACCTTAAAGGCATGCTCCAAACCGGGGGCATCATCGAAGGCTTGAATGAAGATGGTCCCCAGCCCTCGGTCAAGATCTTCTACTCTCTGGCGAAATTCGGACACGTCATTTTCGAATTCCTGTAGAGACATCACGTGGACGTAGGATGAACGTGAGCTCCTCAAGGCCAACCCCACTATGCTCTTTACCACCACCTATGTGCTTGAATTGGCTACACCCAGGACTTAAATTTTAAGTTTCTAAAATTCACCCTGGCATGGCTTTGTTTCTATCCATGCAGTGACCCTATTACTGCAGTATTGTTTTCCCGGATGCCACTTTCCTGGTAAATTGAGTCCGGTGTGAGCTTGGCTCCTTGTCACCCCCTTTTGGGGCCCCTCTCCCACCTTCTGAACTCTCACCCCCAGTGCTAGCTCATGTCACCCCAGAAGCCACCTCGGCGCCAACAGCCCCGGCAGTAAGGCTATTCTATCATTACCTCCTACTTTCCTTCCTGCCCCAAGTCAAAATCCTCCCAAATACTGTATTTTGTCAGACAGCCCCAAGGGTGTTCTCTTTCTTAGAGCGTAGCCATTGTCAAAGAAACTTTTATTTGTGGAATCATTATTACCTGTTATTATCGCTTTCCAACACTGATGCATCGCCTTACAAAAAGACAAAGGAAACCAGAACAGCATAGTGTTTTTCTACTTCCCAAACCCAAGCACATTAATACTAGTATGTTTCCTTGTGTGTAGGATTTGGTGTGTTTTCAGATTATCACTTTGTAGCAAATACACAGTATATATCCTGTTTTGTCATATGCCACCGCCCCCCCTCCCCCCCCTTTTTTTTTTCCACCTGAGACTCATGGAATTTTTAGAAATTTTTAGAACTTCTGGGTTTGGCCAGCTGATCACCCAAGGTCTGGAGGTGCTCAGAGTAGATTTCTGCTCAATTTCTTTCTCCACTCTCCCTGGTATATTCTTGTGATTCCTTCTCCCCTAATTCAGCCCCTCCTAATAGGCATGCCATTCCCTGCTTCCGTACTGACCCTTATGCTTTTTTGTTTTGTTTTGTTTTGTCTTTCCTGCTGCAGGCTTAGACCCACAGGTCCAGAATCCTGGGCTACAGGTGACATGTGGGATCCTGGAAACTGCAACTCTGGCCCTTTCCTCTGCCTGAAGACTCCCTGGGGGACCAGGGTCAGCTCAGAACAACTCAGCCTCAGCCTGTTTCACTTCCCCCTCCCCAAGCCACTAATGAAATTCTGCCCGGGTGCGCCTGGCCTCCGAGGAGCTCGAAGCTGAAAGCTTTGCACACGGCCCCCCACCATCAACCCGTACACATCTCAGCATCTCTGGAACCCTGGGTATCATCCATCTGGAGCAGTCAGCCGTTAGAAAAGGCCTTTCCTGAACTTTCTCCTGACAAAGAGAATAACTGGGAGTGGTCTCTTAATACAACCACGGGAGCCCCAGGAACCAAAGGAAATACACAAGGAAAATGCAAGTAAACACCTAGACCCTACCGCCTCGAGGCATCTGAGAAAGAGAAAAAGCTTGTGAGTTAGCCTTTCCAAGCCTTACCGTGCTCTGGGGGTCCAAGCAGTCATAGGGGGCCTCTGTAAAGACCCTGTACATCTCTTGAAATTCGTCGTACATTTGCTGGACCTGCCGACTCAGGGCACTCCCTCTGATGCCACTGAACTCAAGCTTTCCCAGCGTGTGGAAATCCAGGGTTGTCTTCAGAAGATCCTATAGGGCCAGTTCACAAAATAGTTAATAAGAACAGCAGCAGATAACACTCAGATTAGTATGGGAAGGGCTAGAAATCACGGGGAGCAGGGGTGGTTGCTTAGGAAAATAGGAAGGCTGATTAGTATCGTAGCCTTATTATTAGATCGGCTTGGTATAAATCACTATTGGCTAAACTCACAAAGCAAACAGGAAGCACAGGTAAACAAAATTCACACAGACAAGAAAAAAACCACATGTATATTTCAGCCTCTTTCCGGGTTCTCTAATAGATAACAAACTATGACAACATTATTTACGGGACTGGTGGGTTTACTTCTGGGTTGTTTTTTTTTTAATTTTTTTTTTAGTGTTTTGTTTATTTTTGAGACAGAGAGAGACAGAGCGTGAGCAGGGGAGGGGCAGAGAGAGAGAGGGAGACAGAATCCAAAGCAGGCTCCAGGCTCCGAGCTGTCAGCACAGAGCCCGACGCAGGGCTCGAACCCATGAACTGTGAGACCATGACCTGAGCGGAAGTCAGACGCTCAACCGACTGAGCCACCCAGGCGCCCCTGATGTTTTTTTAAAAAATCCATGTCGGGGCACCTGGGTGGCTCCACCAGCTGAGCATCTGGCTCTTGGTTTCAGCTCAGGGCGTGATCTCGCGGTTCATGAGTTCGAGCCTCGTGTCCGGCTCTGCTGACAGGGCAGAGCCGGCTTGGGATTCTCTCTCTCCCTCTGCTCCTGCCCACCTCTCTCTCTCTCTCTCTCTCGCTAGCTCTCTCTCAATAATAAATAAACTTCAAAAAAATAAAAATAAATCCATTTCAAGGGAAACACGTTATCTGGCTCCAGAAGCACAGCTATCTTAAGGGATATTGACAGAAAACAGATCCTTCAAAAGGTCTCAAGGACAAGCCAAGAGGGAGACACCGATATTCTCAGCAACCACTCCTGCGGAGAGAAGGAATCTGCCATGTGGTCGGCTGGGCGACAGTGAGCAAGTTATTGGGCGTCTCTGTTGGGTTTCTTCATCTGCAACAGGATAATAATGGCGGGAGTGAAAGCAGTCCGGGTTGGCTTAGGGTTTAGGCCAGTGCTTGGCACACGGCAAGTACACAGTGCGTGCGTCTTGCTGTCACTGTTGTTGTTGATACGGCAGTGCCCCAGCTGTGCTCAGAATTAAGTGACAGGTGGACAGCGCAGAGCCTCGGGGAGGAGCCCCTCCCAAGTCCACAGAAGCCCCTTCATCGGACGGGAGGCTTCAGAAGACACTACCGTGCCAGATTGTGTTCTTCCCTCGCACACGCTCATCTGAAGTCACAGAACCTGCAAACCCAGCCTTTCTTCCAATCTAGGCGCAGACCTCTTCCAACAGGAAAGAGGAGGGTAACTCTGACCTTTGGGTGCTTCTGGCAAACGCTGGGAGGGGGTCCTCCACCCTAAGGGAGATTGGAAGGCAGGTAGAGGGAACACCGTGTCACCACGCAGAAAACCCAGTGGGTCGAGTCCACTCCAGGAAATCCCCGCTGCCAATGACCACTGCGATGGGTTGAGCCATCAGGCTGGCGAGAGGCTGCTCGACTCCCTTCCCTTCCTGGGACGCCATGTCCAAGGGCAGTGACAGAGACACCCGGAAGTGGTGAGAAGGGACTGGTTTGCCCCACGTTGCCAGGAGGGCACCTGGCAGCCTGGGGCAGCCCATCTAACCCCCCCCCACCCCTGTTTTGCTTGCTATGCTCAGGCATGGCTGTTGGCGAGCAGCTCAAGTCAGGGAGGAGAGAAGAGGAAAGAACCAGCTGAGGAAAGGAAGACGTCACCCAGACCAGGGGGTCTTGCCTCTACTGGTGGGAAATGGGGCAGTCTTTACTTAAAAACACGTTTCAATTTTATATATCCGCAGGAGAACAGAAAAGAATCTGATTTATTTATTTATTTATTTAAAAAAAATTTTTTTTTAATTTTTTTTTTCAACGTTTATTTATTTTTGGAACAGAGAGAGACAGAGCATGAACAGGGGAGGGGCAGAGAGAGAGGGAGACACAGAATCGGAAACAGGCTCCAGGCTCCGAGCCATCAGCCCAGAGCCTGACGCGGGGCTCGAACTCAGGGACCGCGAGATCGTGACCTGGCTGAAGTCGGACGCTTAACCGACTGCGCCACCCAGGCGCCCCGAAAAGAATCTGATTTAAATGAAATCGACTTAGATCGCAATTCATGTCCATTCGACAAGTTGTGCTTAGCTGTGCTCAGTCAAGCGGGGGAAAACGTACGTGTGCTGTGGGATGTCACCTGGGTACCCACCTTTCGTAATCCCGTGGAAGTCAGTTTCAAGTTTTGGGAAGATGCTCTGGATCCATGTTAAAAGACAGACGGATCTGGGTATGTTTGGTTACATCGGAAAACCAGATGGTCATTTAGTTGTACTGTTTTGTTCTCAAGAATACTTGAAGCATGGTCTTGGGTCCCAGAGGTACCACTGTACCTTCAGCCCCTGGAAGGGTCCTAGACGCTGAAGGAATGCAAGGCAGAAATGTGCCTTTAAACGTTCGTGCCTTTAAATGTGCGTTTAAAAGGGCCTTGGTCAAATACGAGGCAGAACCTAGCCTGGTCCTACTGTGAGGGCAGAAATAAGGCAAATGAGTGACCAGGGCAAAAAAGTAGTTTTGGCCTCAACTCGTGGCTGAACGTATAAAATGACTTGCACTTGGCCATTTTGGCAATTCCACGTGGTTCCACTTCATCAAACAGAACCGTCTAATACCCAGAAATGCCCGACTATAGACTGGAATGCTAAGAGAGATAGTGAGCTCCCCATCACGGCATGGATTTTAGGAGAGGTTTGCGATCAGGGGCATTGTAGAGACGATTCCTGAATCGGGGGGAAAATCGTCTCCCAACTGTGGAAACTGATTCATCCTAACGATGGTTTCCACGTAGTTGATTCTCAAAATATTTGAATGCAAGTCCTTTTCGTTATTTAGAAGTCCTCATGAAACAGATAAAAGGCAGTTACAACCAAAATGAGGCTTAAATAATATTTTCAACGTACCCATTTTTATTCGTCCTGCCAGTACACACAGGAAATTCACTCTGCTCTGTACTGGCTGAAAACGTCGACCTCAGGAGCACAGGCATCATGGAAAGAGCTGAGGATCCAGGACCCCAAGTCCCTGGGTCCACACAACCCTGGGGTGCCACTCCCTACCCACGCGGCTTAAAGCAAGACCCTAATTAAACGTCACTCTCCTAACCTGCAAAAGGGTTGGCTAACACCTGATTTGCCGTGGGGTTCCCGAGTGTTCCACGGGAAGTGCTTTGGAGTGACTTCCATCCACAGAAGTCGCTGTCGTTAATCACCATCACGCTGATGTCATTAGATCGGGTTGGTGGGTAAGAGATGTCTAACGGCGGATGGACCGCTGCTCCCTCCCAGCCGGATCCCAAAAAGACCATGGGGTCCCCGGCAGCCGACTGGCAGATTGGGTCCTATTCTTTGGAGCAACGGGGCAACCTCTAATGGGGTGCCGGGGGAGAGCTCCGTTTGTGCCCTGGCCCCGCGAGGCGTGGCGACAAAGTCGGGGATCATGGCTATCCCCACGCACACAAGCCTGTCCTCCACCGAGAGGTGACACCACCCATCTGAAAGGAAATGTCTTCAGAATTCATTAAGGGAGAGCACAAAGCAGGCGTTCGGAGAAGACAATCTCCAAAGGTCGTGGGGAAAAAGACTGTTTTCTTTACCTTTCGAACGGTGGCCGACGTTACGCGGCTAAGGGTCTCCTGCGTGGCCACATGCCCGGGCCAGGCTGAGAGGGAAGCCGCCCCAATTAGGCCCCCGTGAAGGAGGCAGCAGCCCGGCCACCGATGGAGGAAGGAGGGAAGGGAATTCGGTGCATATTAGGTCAGCTGATTACCTCTCTCCCCGCTAATCACCTCGCGGAAAGCCTCAGCAGGAAATCATTTTGTCTCCAAGTGAATCCCAGCTTTGCAGCAATTTTATAATGAAAGAAATGAGGGTTCTCTCCAAGCTGCTCAGGGCATTGTTTGTAGGGAAGAGGCTGCAGGCAGAAACGGAAAAGGGAGGTGGCGGGTGGGGGGGGGGTGGTCTGCAGCATCTACTGACTAGGGTACAAAAATGAGCTCAGTGTGGGGTGTGTGTGTGTGTGTGTGTGTGTGTGTGTGTGTGTGCGTGCGTGTGTGTGCACGTGGCGTGGGTGTGTGCAGCGTGCATTCACGTGGGGGGGGCACGCGTGTGCGCACTGGTAAGGCAAGCAGGAAGGCAGGGTGAGGGGATCAGGAGGCAGCCGAACCCCTCTTCTTCCCTTTGAATTTTGACTGTTGGAGTTGCAAAGACTTTATGTACTTTTGGGAGTTCCTTAGCGAGTCATAAAGTCAAATAAATAAGGCCCCCTCGTGGACAGGGGGGAGGGATATAATTTTACCCAAATGACTTATTTTGGAAAAAAAAAAAGGCCTAGGCACAGGTGGTAGAAATAGGGTCTAAAAAGGCAGAGTCGGGTGTCTGAGGGCAGAAGGAAAACACAAAACCCTGGGGATAGGGTGGCAGGACAGAGGGACAGGACCTTGAGATCTCCCCCCAGGAGATTCACAACTTTGGTGGAAAGACAAGACGCCCCTGGCTACAAATTGCAGCCAAACCTCCCCGAGCCGTGTGACCCTGGGCAAGCGAATTTGTGCCTTGCCCTCAACGCACCTAGGCTCCTGCTGAATGTAGGCTGCGGGCCAGAGCAGGATTCAGGCTCTAGAAACAGGTTTGTTCTTCATTTTCCTCTTCTTCCTTTCGTTCCCCCAGGCTCGGCTCTATCCGAGATGAGCTGTATCCTGGCTGTGATGGGGAGGCGGGGAGGGCGCGGTGCCCTACGAACCCAATCACTCTGCCTGCTGAGCGGTGCTCCGCACACACAGGCTCCTGCCCGGCAGCCCCCTCCTCGCCCTGCCCCCATTTTTTGCTCCAGCAGGAGCCCAGAGGGAAGAGTCCATCTGCACAAGGAGGCTTTCTTGTGCAAAAGGCGAGGGAGGGAAAGCCATACAAATCAGAGGGGAAAAGAAATCCAAGGGAACCACGGAGATGAAAAACAGGCCCTTTTACAACATAACCCTGGACGTGAGCGTGCCGGAGAGTAAAGGTATTGGTGTCATTTTATTAACTTGGCTGCGTGCGTTTATTAATGGCAGACACCCACATCTCGGAGGCTGCATTATTAGAACGGCAAGATGAATAAGGCGAGGTTCATGCTAATTCTTGCTGGAGAGAAGCAGATTAATCCCATTTCAAACAGGCATTGATCCCAGAGATACACGGAATGTTAACTAAAGGGCCACATGAAATATGCTCCCGGAAGATCAATAACGCCGTGTCCTCTGTGCTGCGACGGGTAGGGGGGCGACAGGGGAGCCGGAGGGCACAGGGATGAGTGAGAGCCAACATTTGGGAGATGAAACCGGGAGGAGGGGAGCAAACACTGGCCTGGGGGAAGGGGGGGCAGCCACAGGATTGGGAAGATCACAGAAATGTAGGGCGAACAATGAGGTGAGGAAAACAAAAGGGAGGGAGAAAGAGAGAGAGAGAGAGAAAGAGCAAGAAAGAGGGAAGGAAGGAAGGAAGGAAGGAAGGAAGGAAGGAAGGAAGGGAAAGAGAAAAAGATGACAAAAGTGGGGAAGGGGACGGGTAGAAAGGGGAGGAAGAGGCAAGGCAGCAGAGAAAAGAAATGCTGGGGTCTGAGGTAAGGGCTGAGAAGTAAACCATCTCGAAGGACGGGAAAGAGAGGGAGCCACAGAAAGGCCGAGCATGGTGACATTCAAGCCATCCCCTAATTAAATTGGGGCAACTGCTTTTTATGCCTCCGTGCCCTTCATTCGGAGGGAAAGAGCAGCTGTGAGCACTCTCGTGAGGGTAGTGACTCCGGGGAGATGGGTGGCCGTCAGCGCTTGTATTTGCTGAATACACCCAGCAGATTAGCCGCCCTCATGTTAGAATAGCTGTCTGTATGCAAAGTCACATCATGAGCATGTGTGCACAGGGCCGAGGCCCCGCCCCGCCGTCGCTCTGACTGCAGAGGCAGGTTGGTGACGGTCTGTCACCTGGGCTCAAGCAGGGAAGGGGTTAGAGACTAGAGGGAGCGCTCCAGAGGCTGCGGGAGGAGGAGGCATTTAGGATAAAGCTAACGTCGATTATTTGCAGTCTCCGCGATCGGGTGAAGCATTTAGGGTGCGCCTTTCGCGAGATCTGGCTTCTGGTTTTCTCGCGTATACCTTTTCTCTGTCTCTGTGGCCTTCCCCTTCTTTCCCTGGAGAATTCCCACTCCAGTTTCGAAATGTATTTCCTCGTGTGCTGCCCGCTTTCTCAGAGCCCCCTCTGGGTTAGGGAGCCCTTCTTTCCTGCTCCCAGGAACACCCCGATTTCGCTTCTATCGTGGTATTTAATACACCTCAACGACATTCCCAGATTCTGTGGTCTTTCTGTCCCTGGATCTCATCCATCAGTCCGTCTACCTTCTCCTGCGCTATGGCTACTGGTCCACAGGCTTCTTGTAGACAAAGCCATCTTCCGGTCACCATGGTATCCCCAGTTCGCAGCTCGGTGCCTGGTGCATGGCGGGGCTGGGACAATGCTTCTTGAATTGGAATGCATGGATTCAATCCCATACTCTCTTGTCCTCATTATCCTACAAACCGTAGGGTGCCACTACAAACCGTGCCGTTATCCTACAAACTGTAGGGTGCACCTCTTCCCAACTGATCCCCCCACCCCACCCCACCCCTGCATTCTCAAATCTGTGCGGATCATAGATGGAAATAATTCTGACTCCCTCTCGGTCCCCTTGGTCATTGTCCTAATCTTGACCCTGAATTTCTCAAATAAGTCCGTATTTCATTTGATGATGTCCATTGCAAAGTTCAGTCAGCAAATATCGAGCCATCAAGTGTGAAAACACCTGCTAACCACATTAAATTCTGAGGATGAAAACCAGCAAAAGCAAAAGTCTCCTGTTTTCTCACCCTGGTCCTTAAACTAACATTCACATGAACTTTTAAATCATTGCTGGGGGAGGGGGACATGGGGGGAGGAAGGGGGTGGAGCCACAACTTTGAGCCAAAAGTCCTGCATCTTCTGCACAGGGATTCGCTAGTCTTATGATTCTGAGAGCCACCTTGAGGGTGGGAGCATGGAAAAGGAGAAGTTTAAAGGAGTGGATTTGTTGAGCATGGCTAACTGCATCTAGATCAGTTCAGTTGCATTTCGCCCGTGGAATTTCTAGCAAGAGTTTATTTGAAACAAAGTTTGAAGATTACGGGTAATTTGAAAACCAACTCAATTAGTTGGCCTTTCCCCCAAACAAGTCTATGATCAGAGTTTCCTACACTTCGACCAGAACCACCATTACATGAAAATGTCAAACCAGATGTTTATTGACTCTTATTATGGGTTCTTCCAACCAATGGAGGATTGGCCACCGTGCTGCTTTGGTCCTTTTCCTACTCTGATTTCGGATCCCTGGATGGCTCACCCCTGTATGGAGCTGGGAGCCTGAGGTGAACGAGGACACTCACCTGCACCAGGAGCAGTCTCCCCAGGAAGCCATCCAGTCGCACAAAGACCAAGGAAGACTGGAAATCCCACTCCTTGACTTCCTGGTTCTCTTTGAAGTAAGTATGGAGATTCTCTCTTCTGTCCTGAAACATCTGCTTGAAGAAGTTCAAGGTGTCCACGGCCACTTGCAGTTTTCTCTGACTTTCTTCCACCTCACTTCTCAGGAGGCCTTCTGGGTTGAGATAATTAGAAGCCTGGAACGCAAACAGATGGTTGTCGCGGAGTCTGAACGCGGTGCAGGACACCCTACAGTTTTTGTCCATGTCCCAACTCTGATCTCAATAACCGCCCGCCATACTTTCCAGAAGCATGCTGTAGGAAACCTCTGACCCCATCCTCAGTTCTACCAGTGGACTGGCGCCTGGGCTCAAGCCAAACCGTCCACGATTGGCTCAGGGACAGACGGGCGCGTAAAGGAGCCATGGCGAACTTCTGTTGGGCCAGCTTGGGCTGGGGAAGGTGCTCTTTCCTGGGGGATTCTCTCATGACTAGTTGGCTTTCTACAGTAAAGTAATTCAAAAGCAAGAATTCTTTGAACCATAAGTATTCCCCTGTCTCCAAGAGGCTCGATCCTGTACAGCTGTGATGCTTAAGCTGTATGACAGCTGCCTTTGCCACCACAGGGCGTGTCAAAAATAACCTCGTCCTGGTGATGTTATCTTAGCCTTCCTGTCGGCCAGGGCTGGAGCTAGCCTTATCTTGGGCCTTTGAAGTACACAAACCAGTAAGTCATGCTAGTTGTTTTGTTGAGGCTGGTTTGGATTGGGCTTTCTTATACTTTCAACCGGAAAAGTCTTACAAAAATGCTGTGATGGAAGGGTGCTGACCTTGGAGCCAAACAACTGACTTCCGGTCCTGGATTGGGGGACCTTTGGCGACTCAGTTGACCTCCTCGAGCCTTAGCTCACATCTTTAAATATTAATAAGAAATTAATAAGGCTCTCCCTGCCCATCTCACAGGGTCCATCCGAAAATGGCCAAGGTCTTGGATGTCACAGCACTGGTAGGCTGCAACGTTCTCCGTAGACGTTAGTTGTTACGAGTTACTCTTTATATATGTTCATTAGAGGTAAAAGAAGCCTATTTGGGAGACAGATCCCCGAAGCCTCATTAAGGCCCCTTGTTCTGTTGACACACAGACTCCTGAGGTTTATGCTGTGCTGGCTGGTGTTCCAAGAGGCCCTGAGGAGGAGGAGTATTGACTATGTGGTCCAAGAAGCTGTTTCTCTGTAACTCACAGGCCCTGAGTTCATAGCACGTGCAGGGCATGAGCATGTGGGATGTGGCCAGCTGGCCACCCTTTGAGACAGGTCCTCTGCTTTTTCCCATTGCACAGTGGGGAACATGAGGCACAGAGCAGATACGTCACTTGCCCAGGCACACACGGCTAACAAGTGGTGACTCAGAATTAGGCACAAGGACGCCTGGCTCTCGGGGCAGCATTCTTAAGTGTTGGGCTTCCCTGTTGACCCTGGGCACTGATCACTAAGGAGGTCAAGACTCACCACACCCACCCTGTGCCTGACCCTGGGACTTGGGCAGAGGGGAAAGGAAGACCAGTCCTCCCAAGGATTCTAGCACTACTGAGAACACCTTTGGGAGTTACTGGCGGTGACAGTAACACAATTTAAGTGTGAGACTCCTCTGGACTTGAATGATTTCCCTGCCCTGAAGGAAAAGCGCCCTCTCCTCTTCCCTGTGACCCGGTGCAGCCAGCCCCTGGCAGGGGCGGGGGGGGGGGGGTGGCGGGTTGTCAGGAGCCCCGACGGCTAACCTGCTGGATGAGGAGATTGCAGATTTCCTGGAGCAGCACCGTGAGCCGCCCTGGGGAGCGGTAGGACCCGCACGTGGCCCAGATCAGACACACCACGTGGAGCAGAGGCCGCAGCCGTGGTTTCACCTCCGGAAACTCCAGGCTCTCGAGGATCTCCAGGTGGCGGGAGAGTGGCATCAGGTGTGTCCGGATGTCCTGCGCCTCTGTCAGAGCTGGAAGGGATTGGAGATGGTCACCTTCCCCGCTTGGGGCTCACGCCTACCGAGTGGAGCCCTGGTGCCTAGGACGGAAGCTTCCGGGGAGCGGTGGCTGCCATTTCTGCTTAAACTAGGAGGAGAGCAGAGGAAGCTGGTCCCTGAGAACTTTCTAGCTCTTTTTGTTTTTTATTATTTTTTAATTTATTTTGAGAGAGGGAGAGAGCACAAGTGGGGGAGGGGCAGAGAGATGGCAGGGGTGGGGGTGCGGGGAGACAGAGACAGAGAATCCCAAGCAGGCTCCGTGCTGTCAGTGCAGAGCCCGACGCGGGGCTCGATCTCACGAACCATAAGATCATGACCTGAGCCGAAATCAAGAGTCGGATCCTTAACTGACTTGAGCCACCCAGGCGTCCCAAACTTTCCAGCTCTTTTGAGGAAACACTGAGACCTGGAGAGCTCTGGACAGCTGAAATAATGGTCTGAGGAGTCTCTCTTACAAAAGTCCCGTATCTGGACACCTCCCTGGCTCTGCTGGCCCCAGTCCGGTGCCCTGTGTGGAGAAGATACTTTGCTGCTGGCCAACGCTATACAAAGTAGATGATCGGAAGGACAAGTTTTAGAGTCAGAAAGATCTGCCTCCAAATGCCGACCCAGACACTTCCCTGATGTGTGACCTTGGGCACGGCGAGTCGCTCTAACCTCAGAAAGAGGAGGAACAGGAGCTAATTTAAAGAATTCTTGCAAAGGTCTGTAGGCAGCACAAGGAGAGTGTCCCAGGAAAGGTCACGTCCCTGATAAACATTTTGCTAATCAAGTATCTCACTGAGCCCGTACCGAGGAGGAGGCAGGTGGGGAGAGAGAAATAGCACAGACTGATGATGGCGGGGTTCTACGGGATCTCAAAGCCAGGAAAATCTCCCCACCACTTCCTTTGACCACAGCCAAGGAGAGATAGGTGCCTTTCACTAGTCACCTTGTGGTGACAGAGAGAAGGGAAAGTAGGAAACCCAGTGGGTGGGGGACTAACTCTGCATATCACCACAGAGGCAGTGAGGAAGCCCACTGAGCAAAGTATCCCAGGAAGGGCCATTTATAAAGTTCTTTCCTGGGCAGATAATCAGGCGCTGTGATGGGTGATCATGGCCTTTGTTATCTTACAGGCTCCCCACTCATTCATCCTAAAGGAAACCCAAAATGTACCTATTTAGTGAAGGTTCTGTGTGCCAGGCACTGATCCATTCACGGGCGGGAGCTTCGTTATTCTCCCATCACGAGTGAAGAAATTAAGACCTGCCCACCATGCCTAGGGTCTTCTTCCCACGGATGTAGCGGAACAAAAGCAAGATCACCCCAGGTTTGTGGGGCTGAACCCTAGCTTGATGGCCGTGGGGCTCACCCCGCCAGGAGTTTGCAATGCGTGTACATTTGCACTTTATATCTCCAACGGGAAGTCGTGTGTGCGTCGAACGGTTGAAAGTCAAATATCACAGTAAGTTGATGGGAGGGGTTGATGAGAACATCAAAACTGCCGTGTGGGGGTGGGGGGAGATGCAGCTCCAGCAGCCATGCTAATGGGCACGTGCCCTAGTGTTCAGACACATGGGGAGGAAGGAGGCTGAGGACATTGGGCCAGAGAAGCTTTCTCTTTACGATACCTCCCCCCCCAACCCCCAAAAAAGCAAACCCTTCTTTAATCACATAAATAGGCATTCCCCTGATTTTTAAGAGCACGGTATTTGAGGGTTGGCTCCTCCAGTCCAGGGCGTGGTCACAACTTAGCTCACAAGGCAGATAAAGAAAGAAATGAACAAAGGTGGGTGAAACATAAGCAGCTCAGCCGTGACAGGCTCTTCTGGGACCAAAGCCTTTATTACGTGTAGCACTTGCCAATTTCCATGGCGTAGATACTGCTGACATTCCCACCATGTCGGATTTCAAGCTACCAGCTCGACTTTTCTGAGTGTTGGGAGGGGGGATTGAAAAGAGTTGCAGACAGCAGGTTCTCAAGAACCTGATGGCCAGTCCCCATTGGTTCCAGCCCACCTCTGGCCGCTGACCTGCACACATTGCCACCAACAAAGAGCCGGACTGGTGACCAGGCTGTACTATGCCAATCCTGCCCCTGGTGGCCAGAGACTAGAATGCTCCTGCAGGGACCTGTTGGCTTCCTTTCTTCCCAAGGTTTCCTTCCACTGCTGACAATCTTGTTCCACACTGTTTCCTCCACCCCTTTAACTCCCCTCTTTACTTTGCATCGTTTTCCAATTTGTGCCCACTGATCCAGGAATGTTTCTTCTCCTCTCCTCTTCAGTCCATCAGTGAGCCCAAGAACTACCCTGCTCATGACTAAGACGACTAACGTTCATAGTGGGTCTCTTTAGGTTCAAGAAAGACAGATGCTCTTTGGGGCGCCTGGGTGGCTCAGTCAGTTAAGCGTCCGACTTCAGCTCAGATCGTGATCTCGCGGTCTGTGAGTTCGAGCCCCGCGCCGGGCTCTGTGCTGACAGCTCAGAGCCTGGAGCCTGCTTCAGATTCTGTGTCTCCCTCTCTCTCTCTGCCCCTCTCCCACTCGCTCTGTCTCTCTCTCAAAAATAAATAAAAACATCTTAAAAATTTAAAAAAAAAGATGCTCTGAAATTAAATCGGAAATGGGAAAACTAACTGCCAGCCTCCAAAATCTTTAAAAATAGTTTTTTTTAAGATTTTATTTTTAAGTAACCTCTACACCCAATGTGAGGCTGGAGCTCACAACCCCCAGATCTAGAGTCAGACGCTCTACCGACGGGGCCAGCCAGGCGCCCCTCTAAAATCTCTTTATTCTCAGAAGACCCCATCAAAATTTCTGACCAAGTCTTTGCCTAACTCCTATAATCAAAATTCCTCTTCTTGCATCATCAGAATTGAGTTACCTATGTTTCAAGGATTTCTAATTTTGCTGTCGTGTTTATCCGTGATCATGATGATGGTATTGTTTTTTTTCTCCCTTCTTCTCATTGCCAGCATTTACTCGACTGCAAAGAGCTTTCTGAAGCCCACCCGGGAAACCAAATCTTTTATAACTATTAATCAAGCAGAATGATTATAGTCTATTAATCTATTAATGTGCAAAATATATTTGGGGCTCTAACTAACGGACTCGTAAATATACTTTTAGCGTGTGTCATTTTATTTCAGGGCCCCGAACGTCAGTCATTTGCAGGTCTCCTTTATGGTAGCTGTTGTGCCTGCATACAACCTGTAATATTCCTTACTGAGTGCTTTTCTCAAAGTTGACGCACATTTTAACCTGAATAAAATATTAGATGAAAACTTCGAATCACTACCACAAACAGAACACCGGCATCACTTGCCAAAAGCAGTTGCCCTTTAACACACTTCAAAAAATTTTTTTCATGTTTTTATTTATTTTTGAAGGAGAGAGAGAGAGACAGAGCATGAGCAAGGGAGGAACAGAGAGAGAGGGAGACACAGAATCCGAAGCAGGATCCGGGCTCCAAGACGTCAGCGCAGAGCCTGACGCGGGGCTCGAACTCATGGACTGTGAGATCATGACCTGAGCCGAAGTCGGACGCTTCACCGACGGAGCCACCCAGCGGCCCCAACCGTTTAACACGCTTTCAAACACACCTGTCCATTCGTCTCCCACAATCACAGTGGTGGTGGCACGCATCCACTTTTGGAGACACCTGTCCCATCTGAACTACAGTATACATTGGGAACAATGGCTGGTTCCTCTGGGACACAAAACCTCTCTGCGAAGCAATAATCAGGGGCCCCCAAGAGGGATCTTGTTCCAAGCCAGCTTTATGTGTTGGCAGAGCGATGTCTGTGATAATATTTTAGGGCCCAAAAGGACCTCGAAGACTAGTCACTTACGGCCACTCTCCTCTGTTAGCACATATTGGAACCCCCACCACTGGGACCTTTATTCCTTGAGCTGAGTGGTGTCCAAACCCCATGCCATGGGGCTGAGATGGTGAGGTAGGAGTAGACCAGTGGGGTCTGGACACAGGACGCTCCCCTCTTTAACAGAGCAAATGTAGCTTGGCGAGTTTTACATTGTGGACTTCCGTAGATTGTACTTGAAGAAAGAGTTCCAATCGAGGAGAAAAACGTTTGAAAAACCACCGCTTGAATTAAGCTTGAATCACATGAAATTACGGACGCCTTCAAAAGCACATTCTGACCTACCATGCTGAAGAGCTAGCGGGAGGAGGTTTGATAGGAGGGAGGAAAGAAGCAAAGGGTACAGACGGCGGGAGAGAGAGCCCCGAGAAAAATTTACCTACTTCTAATCATAGACTTTGCTAACTTTGCAATTTTGACAGGGGCCGATCTTGTCTGGGGCTCCGATGGCCAGTCCCATCCGACAGCAGGAACAGAAAAAAGCCGAACGGAGCTCGAAACGGAACAGAGACTTCTTCCAAGGAGCTAGGGGCGGAGGGACTTGGAATCCAGAGGTGAGAGGTCACAACATGCACGTGCACAGTACAACATGGTCAGCAAAACACTTCCACTTGTGTCATCCCCCAGCGGCCCAGGGAAGCCTACGCGGGGAGTGCGGGGGCCACAACCGCGCTCCGCACTAAAGCTCAGAGAGGTTAGGTGACTTTGCCGGGGTCACAGAGCCTTGGCCACGCAAACAGACCACAAGGTGTCTGCTTTCCTGCTTCTAGATTTGGCACTCTCATCACCAAGCTAGACCGTGTCGGGTGGGAGGGTTTCAGAGACCGGAAAATCGCAGAGGGAGAAGACAATTCAGCACTCGACAAGAAATGCGATGCCAGCGTGTTGACGGAAATACCCGCGCGTCCTCACCTGCTACGACATCTCTGCACATGGCTTGGAAAGCTGGGAAGTAGCTGCTGTGGACTCTGTCCAGGAGCCTGGCCATGCCCCTCGCCTTTATCGCTCTCAGTTGGTTGTAAACGTGTTCCAGATCTTCAGCCCTACAACACCGTGGAGAGGGGTGAGTCCAGGCGGACATCGCGAAACGCAAGTCACGCTGTGATGACCCCCTCCTCGGACACAGAGGGGCCCTGCCTCCGGGTGCTTGCACAGAGGCCGGAGCCAGCCCCACAGAGCGGGGCATCTGTTCCTGGAACAGTGAGGGCAAAAGCCTGGGTCGGGGACGCGGGTTCAAAGGGGCAGCTCCGGGAGGTAACGGCAGCGAACACTGCTGTGACCATCTGGCGGCTCATCTCGGCAGCTGGAGGTCATTAGCTCTTGCAGTAAGGTCTGGAAGGCGGGGTGGGGGGGGGGGTGTCGTCAGAACACAGCTGCCGGAGAAGGGCCCGTCAGCAGGTCAGAGGAACGGTCAGTGACGAGGCAAGAGGATGGGGCGTCTCAGCGCTGGGGCACACAGAGGGCCGGAGCCCTACCGGTACGCCTGGCCACGTGACAGGGACACTCTCGTGCAATGCGAGGACAGGGGGGTCTGCCTCAAACATCTTTCTGTCTCCTTTTCAGTGAAGGAGCACTCGGCACGGCAATAAACAGAAGCAGGGAAACAGGAGAGCCTGAGGGGGAAGGAGTGGGAGCACCAGTCAGGTCTTTCCAGAATCCCGCAGGGGCTGGGATGCCCTGGTGGATGGGATTTCCAGCCCTCCCGATGACTGACTGGGCCCTAGGAAAGGCTGTTTTGCAGGCAGCCAACGGCCAGAACCCCAGATCTTTACAAGAAGTGTGCGTATGGCTTCGACTGTCCACGGAGGAGGGGATAGAGGAGTAGAAGAAAAAAACGTGACAGTTCATCAGTTTTATATTTGGTTGAAAGCACCTTTGAAGAAGTGTCAGCAGGTAGACAGATCATAGCTCAAGAAAGGAAAGACAGCTAAGCATTTTCCGGCGCTTGGGACACCTGTGTTGACCCAACCAGTGGTGAAAAGTCCCCGGGGGTGGGACCAGACTCAGTGGCTGCCCCTTCCCCCCAGGCCACCGTCATCCCCGGTAAGACATCTACGCCCCAGGATTTGAGCATGCGCCTACCTGCTCTTCCAGAACTCCAACTCCACCCTAGGGGTGGGGTTCTCCCCTTGTAGGAGGGGCTGGGAAGACTCTCTCTTGAGCACCCCCTGGACCCGGCGGCTCCACTGGATTACAGCAGACTCAATGGCATAGATGACTGACTTCTCTGTGCAATCCAAGCTGTGGAAGACACAACGAATCTCCCGGGTCTACTGGAAGTAACTCCAGGTGTCCCCAAAACAGAATTCTAAGTCTTTCAAAGATAGGTGGGAAATTCCACTGAATCCAGGCATTGTACAGACAAAGTACAGACAAAACGCTTATGTGTGCATGTGTACACAGTTATTCAAGGTTGGGGGCTTCCCCGACATCCTGAAGACGGGTTTGAGAACTCTGAATCCCACCGAGCCTTTCTGTCCACGCAGGAATACACTGGACGGAAGCTATTCGGGTGAATGTCCACCCCTTGCCTGAGCACCCCCAATGTCAGCAAGCTCCCTACTTGGCAAAGCAGTGCGATCCTTGGTAGGCCAGCCCGTCCTGGGAGAGAGTCGGTCTCTACACTGAACCCGGAACCGCATCCACCTCTTTGCCAACTTGGCTCTGACTTCTGCGGCAAGTCAGTTGGTCTTGGCTCTGACTTCTGCAGCAAGAGGAGGTAGGCTCCGTCCTCCTCCACGAGGCAGGGAATCAGCCATCTGAAGGCCACGGGCAATTTCATTCTGGGCCCCCATTCCCCCTCCTACACCTTTTCGAAAATCCTTCAGCGAGGAAAGCTACAGGTGTTTCGGAAGAGATGTAAATGTCCAGAACACATTTTGGTGGCCTTTCGACAAAGCTTTCATAGACAGCTGTTCATGCCAAGAACCCAGGACACAAGCGACACAGAAAGAGAATCTATCACCTGGGTGTTTCACGCCAGAAACCCACCTTCGCTTATTTTAATTAAATTCATATTTGCTGAGCAACGATATGTCGCAAGTGATTACAGAAGGTATTGAAAGGAAAAGATACTCACCTCCCTGAAATGTGATCCAGCCTTTCGGGAAATTATCAAATTTGAACAAAGCGAGACAAACCCAGCAATGATTATACACACACACACACACACACACACACACCCCCACAGACACATACACTGAATGTTATTATGTTAACATATAAAAAGGAACAGGGAAAGCGTCATTTGAGTTTATTTATTTCAAAAATTGAATATTTTTATTAAGCCACATTAGGTTTTCTAGTTAACTGGGAAATTGCTTCAGGTTATATATGTAGCAAATTACTTCCCAATAGCAAAAACTCATTATAAAGGACATTGGCATTGCACGCGACACTTCGTGTCCAGATCAAATCACGGGCCCTTGAATGTACAACTGTTGACCAGTAAGACATTTGCAAACTGCTGGCAATATGGCAGACAGCACTCACACCAGAAGGTGGCCTGTTCCCAGAAACACACAGAAGTGCTGGATAGAAGATACAAAATGTATCATTTAGAAACCCAGGCTGGCTGAAAAGAAAAAGGAGAAAGACAATCCCCATGGGACAGAAAGAAAGCCATCCCCCCTCCAAGGGGAAGAGGCTGGGGGTTTTCTGCCCACCCAGACGCAAAGAGGCGCAGACTTCAAACAAAGCCAGATTTGTGTCCGTGTGGGGGAAAAAAAAAAAAAATCCCGGAGATCTGACAAAAGTCTCCAGCTGCCAGGGGGAGGAGGGTGTGGAACTGTTAACAAGAGCCACAGAGGCTGGTTCTGTGACATTACGTGCCGCGTAAATGCGCGCGGCTGTTGCCCAGACCGGACCTGGGTCTTTGCCAAGGATGAGACGCTGTCCTGATGAGCAAAATACTGCAAATCAGTGTGGCTGCTCCCGGCCCTGAAATAATTCTGAGTGGGGGAGAAAAGGGCCATGCTGCTGTGATGGCCTTCAGGGACTTCGGGCACAGGGAGTGAGAGGCACGGGCGGCAATCCGCGGAAAACACGCAGTCCGCGGATGTTGGCAAACGGCAGACGGTGGGCTTGCGTGCAGAACCAGGAGGTGTGGGGAGCCGGGAACAGAGAAGTCGTAAAGAAAACACTCAGATAAACCGGCATCTCCCCTATCTCGGAGGCCCCTACGGCCAGGTTGGCGGTACTTACGCACTGTCGCTGTCCGAATCCACAAACCCCACTTCGTCTGCGCCTGCCGGAAGAGGCAGCACAGTCTTCCCGTTGACCTGCTCCAGGATAACCAGGAGGTCGCCCTGCAGGCCGTGGGCGTGCCGCTGGACATCTTGACATACCACGTGGGGCCAGCCTCGGTGATTCTTCTCATTGGCCAGGACGGGGAGGACCACCTGGAACAGAAGCATGCGGGAAGGGAAGGTGGGAATTTTTCTGATGCCTTCAGGAAAGACTATCTTAGAATGGCCCAGAAGGCCACCCGCAACCTTTTGCAGGCCCCTGTGCTATTAAGAGCCAACAGTGGGTATTGCCTTGACATCTGGTAAAACTGGGAGGGTCTCGAAGAGCCCACCAGCAGGTGAGTCCCCTTGGCCAGACAGCCGTCTTCGTCAAGGGGATGGGCGCGGTTGCCGCTTAATTCTGAGTAGCGGGCTTCAACCCCCTGCCAGCCAGTGGACTTCCTCAAATAAGCCATTCCTATCCTCCCACCGGGGCTGGTGGGCACCCCACCATCTGGATCCCCCCACCCCAAGCTTGCCTCCCATAGCCCCGTGGTTGTTCATTGTGGTCCCAAGCCCAACTCCCGAGGGACACAGTATCCTCTCCCACCTCCTCCTCTGGGCTGTGAGTCTAGGTAACTGAGGAGCCGCCATCAGGATCATCTGTCCAATATCGTGTGCTTGGCCATCCCCAGAACTCTTGGGCAGGAGCCCCTCCATCATGAGCAGGGTGAATAGGAGGCGATTGAAAATGTCAAAATATAGGACGAATGCAGGTAAGGCAGCCCATCTGTCTACAGGTGTTATGACCAGGGCATGTTAAAAAAGCAAGCCAAGCTGAGGATCTTAAATCTACCTGTAGGGTGAACATTAGTTGGTTTGGGCCACCCAGTAGGGTTCCTCTTTTTTTGGTACTCATTTCTAGGTCCAGAGGCGGGATGTGAACAAATGTGAGCCAATGCGAGTCAGGCCAAAGTCTCGCATCTGAACTTTTTGATGAAGAGAGCTTTCTCTTTTCTAGGAGTCCAGAACGATTGTGGCCACCTTGCCAACATAGGGAGCCTTAGAATAAGGCCAATATGGGGGAGCCTGGGTGAGTCAGTTGGTCAAGCGTCTGACTTCGGCTCAGGTCACGATCTCACAGTCTGTAAGTTTGAGCCCCATATCGGGCTCTGTGCTGACAGCTCAGAGCTTGCAGCCTGCTTCAAATTCTGTCTCTCTGTCTCTCTCTGCACCCCCCTGCTTGTGCTCTGTCTCTAAAAATAAATAAACATTAAAAAAATTAAAAAAAAAAAAGAATAGGGTCAATATGGGGAAAAGACAGTTTACAGATGGAGAAAAGCCCATGTCCTCTGACATCATTAGAGCTCCTGAATCAAGCCGCTCCAGAATTTTCTTAGCTACTTCACGTGGAGGTTTTGATCACTAGCAACTTAAAAAGTTGTAGTTGATGGAACCTACTAAGAACATCTCACAGCTGAAGGAAAGGGATGATAGAGAGAGAGAGAGAGAGAGAGAGAGAGAGAGAGAGAGAGACAGAGAGAGAGAGAAACCCAGATGATCGGGAAATGGGATAAGAACCAAGGAAATAATGACAATAGAAACTCATATGGCTGGTTGGGTTCTACGAATGACCAGAGTCCATGTGGCTATGACATGGGACACCTAGACCTGGCGGGTGAAATCTAAGAGGGTGAGCCTTGCCTCGTCTGTCTGGAAACAATCACTGAACTGAGAATTTATAACAGCAGGTGGACAGGGAGTGCCAACAGAGAAGATGTTACAAATCAAGTCCCACTCATTCATGTGGAGAAAGGATGCTCTGGCGGGGGGGAGGCGCCTGGGTGGCTCAGTTGGTTGAGGATCCAACTTCAGCTCAGGTCATGGCCTTACAGTTTGTGAGTCTGTGCCCTGCATGGGGCTCTCTGCTATCCATGCAGAACCCCCTTCAGATCCTCTGTCCCCCTCGCTCTCTGCCCCTCCCCCACCCGCACACACTCTCTCCCGAAAATAAACAGACATTTATTAGAAGGAAGGAAGGAAGGAAGGAAGGAAGAAAGAAAGAAAGAAAGAAAGAAAGAAAGAAAGAAAGAAAGAAAGAAAAAGAAAGGAAGAAAGAAAGAAAGAAAGAGAGAAAAAGAAAGGAAGGAAGAAAGAAAAGAAAGGACCCTTTTGGACCCTGGGCAGAAGGCCCAAGAGGAAAGAGAGAATGAAGAGTAATATTCTTAGGATCTCAGAGGCAGGGACTGTATCTCATCTGGTCTTTTTATTTTTATTTTTTTTTTAATTTTTTTTTCAACGTTTATTTATTTTTGGGACAGAGAGAGTCAGAGCATGAACGGGGGAGGGGCAGAGAGAGAGGAAGACACAGAATCGGAAACAGGCTCCAGGCTCTGAGCCATCAGCCCAGAGCCCGACGCGGGGCTCGAACTCACGGACCGCGAGATCGTGACCTGGCTGAAGTCGGACGCTTAACCGACTGCGCCACCCAGGCGCCCCTCATCTGGTCTTTTTATACCCACAGTCCTCCATAAGGCCTGGCATAGAAGAAGCACTCCATAGAGGTTCACAGAATAATTGAACGTACGCGGTCTGAAGAAAAACTGGTGAGTGAGCTTGCACCGGATTTTTGAGGGCTCTGAGAGAAAAATAATGAACGTGAACTTTCTATGAAACGAAAAGCTACTCCTTCATTTATTCAATAAATATTTATTAACCATCTATATGCTAATCGTGTTCTAGGTGCTGGGAAGGTATGTCAATGAACAAAACAGACAAGGATTCCTGATCTCATGAAGTTCAGGGGAGAGACAGTCCATCAACGGAACGTTCTGCAAGAAAGGATAATAACAAAGCAGGGGAGGACGATCAAGAGAGTTGACAGTGACAGATGGACTGATTGGTGCAGGCTTCGTTGAGAAGGTCACATTTAAACAAAAACTGGGGAGGACAGGGAGAGAGCTGGGCAGATCCTTGGGGGACGTATATTATAGACAGAAGGTAGCTGGCTATGGCAGTTGGGGTTTCAGAGAAGCAAAGGCTGGGGACAGCAATATCCGAATCAGGTGGTTTGTGAAACTCTGGGGTGGGGGGGGGTGTGAATGACTGCTCCCGAGAATCTGAGGACAGATAGAGAGGAGGGGGTGTCCAAGCAGTGAGCCCAAGGGCTCTCCAGCGTTAGGAAGCTGGCAGGTGCCATTGATGGAAAGGAGTGGCCATCGCGACGTCAGAAGACTGGTGTCCTGAAAGCCAAAGGCCGCTCACAGGTCCAACCAGGAGAGGACTGCTGGAGCATCCGGCGTCCTGGTAACGCCGACGAGCTCTTCACTTTGTCTTCCATGCGACGTGGGGGTGACCGCAGGCTAAAACAGGAAGAAGACGGGGCCCAGCGAGAACAGACACAAATCCCAGGCATTCTGCCGTCGCGGGGACCACAGAAAAAAGGACGAGAGCTGCCAGGAGGGATGAGGATTCTGTCTGACGGGGGTTACCTGGTGGGGAAGGAAAAACCAAGAATGTAGCAGAGAGGGGAGAGTCGTTGGCGTGACCTCTTCAAGGAAACGAGAATGGACGGGATTTGGAGCAAAGGTGGGGATTTTAGTCTCGGGGTTGCCACCAGGGGACGGCACACGGTCCTTCTGTAGCAACAGGAGGGATGGCAGAGTAGGGTGACTTTAGATATTGGCAGATGGGACAGATAGAAGCACTGGTGGGAGTTTTATGCTAATACTCCCATGTTCTAAAACCAAGTAAGAGGCAAAAGCACCACAGGAGTGAGGCTGATAGAAATTCTGGACATTTGAGGCGGGGGGTGGGTGGTGGGGGGGGGCGGGGAGAAAGTGTGCGACAGGGATCTAGAAAAATCAAGAGAATAATTGGAAGCATGGGTGTCACCTGGGAGGCGTAGAAGGCCTGTTACAGGTTCGGGCTCACGGATTTAAAGTGGGGCCAGTGGGTTTTGTTGGATTCCATCAGGATTATGGTTTCACCAGAGGAATAGGACAAAATGAGGCAGAGGCCAGTGAGTCCGGAGTTTACCCAAGGTCGTGATGATAATGGAGGAGAAAGCACGTGAGTCTGGAGAGGGACAGCGGGAAGGCGACAGGATGGAGGGATTGGCGGTCCTAGCAGGGTCGTGGGCCTGCGGTATGGGGCGCTGTGTGGAGCGAGCTGGAAGACAGGAGTGGTGGTCAGAGAGAGAGGTCCCTGATGTGGGATCCTGAGGGGGTGGTTTGGAATGGGAGGTCTGGAAACAGCCACAGTAGAGAGGTAGGCAACATCGTTGGAGGAGGAAGTTTCAAGGACCCCGGAGGCCGGCTTATTGGAAGGATCCTTCCTGCATCTAATGAAGCAGCCAGGTGGTAAGGTAGGAGTGATGCTGGAAAGAGTCACAGTGAGCCGGGGGCAGGGCCGTCAGTACATGACACAGCAGTGAGACGGGAGAGGGCGGGTTTTGTCTGATGGCGTAAGATCCAAGCGGAGGTTTTTCTACACAAGTCTAGAAGCAGCAAGGAGGAGCGAAGGCTCAGAGATGGAGAGGCTGTGGGGACAGACACACAGCTGAGTCCTCCGGGGACAGCGGGGATGGGTTAGGGCCAGGTGACAAGGAGGGGTCAGAGGAGTGAGGACGCTTTTGAGTGGGGTATCGAGGGACAAGAATTCTTGTCCTGTAGGGCAAACCTACAACACAGCACACTCTTCCGGGTGTCCTCATGTACTGTTTCTAAATTCCATGACCGTCCTGCACGGTCGTTTGACCCTGGCTGCAGAGGTCACATGACACTGATGCATTGCCCAGAACCGGGATTCGAACCCAGGCCCATCAGATTCCATATCCCATGCTCCCTCCCCCAGACACAGAACTTCAAAATGGCACCCAAGTCTCGGACCTCGGGGAAAATAACCTGGCAGCAGTGAGTGAAGTGGCCAGGAGGAGGGAGAAACCAGCAGGAAACTCGTTACTAAATTCTGTCAATTCCAAGAAACATTGCTTGGATGCCTTTTTTAATTACTTTATTTAATCTATCTATCTATCTATCTATCTATTATCTATCTATCATGTATGTATTTTGAGAGAGAGAGAGAGAGCACACACATTCAAGCAGGAGAGAGGGAGCAGAGAGAGAGAGAGAGAGAGAGAGAGAATCCCAAGCAGGCCTCATGCCCAGTGCAGAGTCTGACACGAGGCTCGATCTCACGACCCAGGGATCATGACCTGAGCCAAAATCGAGAGCTGGACATTCAACCGACTGAGCCACCCAGGCTCACCTTGGATGCATTTTTTTTTAAACCCTGTACTAGTGTAACAAAATAATGTTAAAATGTATAGCTTCCTCCCTCTTTGGGAGGAATCGTACCCCACACCCACCCCCTAATACAAGAGGGCTTCTCAGCCACAAGGGCTCCTTTGGCTTGAGTGAGCTGAGTCCGGTGTGGGAGGATGAGGGCAGTATGCCACCAGGGGTGGAGCTGGCCCACAGGGGGAAGGGGAGAGGGGGCAGGAGCGCTGGGAGGGAAGGAGGGGCTTAGGGGACAGGAGGTGAGCTGGGGGCTGTAACCGCCCTCGATCAGCAGGGCGAGTAGAAGAAGTAGATGAGGGAACAGTGGTTGAATGGCCTATAGATGGCTGTTAGTGGCTTCGAGAAATGCTAAGGCCTGAAGGTAATCTAAAAGTAAATATTTTATTTGGATGTTAAAAACATATAATACATTTACCTGGTGCAAAATCTGAAAGTGCAAAAGCTTCCCAGTGCGAAGCAAGCATTCTATCTACCCCTGCAGCTCAGTCACCTAGTTTCTCGGGCCCGTGGATTCCTCTGTTAGTGAATCTGTCCATCCTTCGTCCCTCTCTCCCTCCCTCCTTCCCTCCTTCCCTTCCTTCCTTCCCTTCCTCCTTCCCTCCTTCCCTCCTTCCCTGCTTCCTTCCTTCCTTCCTTCCCTCCCTCCTTTTTTTCCCTCCTTCCTCCCTCCCTCCCGCTTTCCCTCTTCCTTGCTTCCTTCCCCCTTCTTTCCTCCCTCCCTCTTTCTTCTTTTCAGCAGAAATGGTAGCATACTATCCTATAATTCTGCACCTTCAAAAATTATCTTAAATCGCAGCACTCTTCACACTAGCCAAGAGGGGAAAGGACTTCCATCCATGGGTGAATGGATACACAAAAGGCGACGTGTGCATAAAATGGGATAGTACTCAGCCTTAAAAAGGAAGACGGTTCTGACACCTGCTACAACCATGGATGAACCACGAGGACATTATGCTAAATGAAGCAAGCCAGTGACAAGAAGCTAAATGCTGCACGACTCCGTTCATATGAGGTACCCAGAGCGGTCAAGGTCATAGGAACAGAAAGTAGAATGGGGTGGGGGGGAGTGCCAGGGCACGCGGAAAGGTGGAGCTGGGGGTTTGTTTAGCGCGAACCGGCTTTCAGTCATGCAGGATGGCGGGGGTTCCCGGGGATTTGCGGCACAACAGTGTGTGGGCGGTTCACAGGTGTCAGCCTGTACACTTGGAAATTATTGAGAGAGTGAATTTTATCTTGTGTGCGTTTTTTTTTCTCCCACAATAAATATAAATTACCTTAAGGACTGTTCCATAGCAATTATTCCTTTTATTTATTTTTTCGAAGTTTATGTGTTTGTTTCGAGAGGGAGAGAGAAAGCACGAGGGGGGGAAGGGCAGAGAGAGAGAGAGAGGAGAGAGCGAGAATCCCAAGTCGGCTCTTCGCTGCTACCACAGAGCCCGACACGGGGCTCAAACTCATGAACTGTGACATCATGACCTCAGCCCAAGTCCAACACTTAACCAACTGAGCCACCCAGGCGCCCTACCAACTCTTCCATTTAATTATAGCTGGACCTTCCTTCATTTGCCCGGTGCCCTGTCGATAAACATTCAGTTTGTTTCCAATCTCGTTCAATGCACCAATGAAAATTCTGGAACGTTTGAGGGCTTGGATTATTTTACAATTATGTTTGCCCGCTGGATACATTTCCTCGGGCCTGATCCTGCTCTGAGATTCACCCGCTGCCCTCCACACGTACTAAGTGTAGCGCCACGTCTGAACCTTGGCTCAGTCTGCTCCCAGTCCCTTGAAACTTACCTTGACATCCATTTACCCTAACCTTCCTTCCTGTTCAGGAGCCAGTTCGACACCTGAGGCTAAGCGTGGCTCTCAGACCACATGCATACCTCTCTCCTCTGAACACAATGGCACTTCCTTCTGTCATCATCATTCACAAGGGGACTTGATCCAAGCTTAGATCTCTGTAGTGAGGGTGTGCAGACAATGCACAGCAGTAAAGCCATTCTGGTTGTTAAAAGACTGAAGTGCATCCTGATCTACTGAGAAACCTAGCTTCTCTGGGCTTCCCGAGGGTGACTCTGTCACCCGTGCTCCTTCCCTGCCATACGCCCTTCCCAGAGCTTCCTGGTAAAGCAACTAAAAGGCTAACATCTGGCTTAGCAGGGAGCCTCCAGGACCCGGCTCCAGCACTGGGGCCAACTCTAGGTAAATTCTACCTCCACCCCAGGCGTACGAGTTTTCAATACAGTAAAACCTTGGTTTGCGAGCAGAGCATAATTCGTTCCAGAAACATGCTCGTAATCCAAAGCACGAGTATACCAAAGCAAATTTCCCCATAAGAAAGAGTGGGAACTCAGATGATTTGTTCCACAACCCAAAAATATTCATATAAAAATCGCAATACTGTAAATATAACGCAAAATAATAAAGAAAATACATAATACAAAGAAAAAGAAACAAATTCACCCGCACTTACCTTTGAACACCTTCATGGTTGGTGTGAAGGAGACAAGAGAGAGGAGGGTTATTGGGTAGGACGACGTTCACTATCGCTAACAGAATCACGGCTATCTATTGGCTCGGTGTAATCTTTTTCTTTTTGTACAACTTTAACAAGGAGCCTATCCAATGACACTTGCTTTGCCTCCTTTTGAGGATGTCGGGGAATTGTGACATTGCGTTGACAATCACCCACAAACCCACAGTGAGCGAAAGAGAGAACGAGAGAGACAGAAGAACCATTGGCTCTTTGTGATCATGTGACAACCCACGTCGCATACTACTTATATTGCAAGACATTGCCCGTTTATCAAGTTAAAATGTATTAGAAATGTTGGCTCGTCTTGCGGAACACTCGCAGAACAAGTTACTCGCGATCCAAGGTTTTACTGTATTTGAAATAGAGGATCAATTTCATGGGTAGGATTGTGTCTTCTGTTTTTCTGGTATTCCCTATGGCCTCTATCACACAAAACAGCCTCCCCAAACATACACACAGAACTTACAGGGAAAATTACTCCCATTCCAGAAAGGTCTAAATGTCCCAAGAATGTCACCTTGGGCACCCTCTCTGAAATCTGCACTCTCCCCGTTTTGCCTGTGGCCTCACACAAGTACTCTATAATCCACGTCTCCGGACATCTTCCTCCCTGAGCTCAGGGCAGACCCCTCCCCCCTCCAAACACCTGTTGGCACCTGTTGGCCATTTCCAAATGGATGCCCCAACTTCTTATCTTGGCACGTGGCTGACACTGGGTATTCACGGATGAGGTGAAATCGAAACCAAAACACCTCCCCCTTTAACTCCCCTCGTAGGTAAGCACTGTGTATATAGAGCCTTTCACTTCCGTTACCTCCCTGACCCCATAGAGATGACCCCTTGGTCACCACCGTTTGTCTTTCCCTGTGTCAGTTTACAGAGGGATTAAGAAATGGTCAGGACCCAGCAGGCCCTCCTGACTCCAGCCTCCCCTCGACGTTGGCTTGGTCCCAGACCGGGACTGGAGGAAATCGGAGCCCATTCAGCTTCTCACTCTGACCTGGCCCCTTCCCAGGTGGCCCCAGCTCGCCCCCAGGTCGCACGTGGGCTCTGGGCTTGGGGCCCCTCCCCTCTGGCCACGCCCCCTTCCCCGCCCTCCGGCTCCGCCTCCCCTCCCCTCCCCCTCCCAGTGGCTGCCGGCGCCCCGCAACCTGCCCACCCTCACCTGAGAGAACAGGGTGGCCAGATGCTCCAGAGGGGCGGCGGGCACGTCCCCGCACAGCACGGCGCCGCGGAGGCTGCGGGGCCCCGGCGGCTCCGGCCCGGTGCGCAGGAAGAAAAGCCCCTTGGCGCGAGGCGGGCCGGCCTCGGGCCCCGCGTCCAGCCCGGGTCGCAGCGCCAGGCCCCCCGGCCCGGGCCGCACCACCAGCAGCGGCTGCGGGCTCCCCTCATCCTCGCGGCCCAGGAAGGCGTGCAGCAGCCGCTCCGCCTCGGCCGTGCCCGCGCAGCGCTCCCAGGCGCCGGCGGCCGGCCGCAGGCTCCGGGCCACGTAGGCCCCCAGGAGTCGCAGGCGCGGGTCGGCGCCGGGCTCCGGGTCCGCTTCCTCCGCTCCCGGCATCGCGCGCTCCTGCCGGCCCCAGCGGTTTCCCGGGCGACGCGGACGCGGCCGGGGCTCCCGCCTCCGCTGCCCTCCTATTGGGCCGGAGACTGCTGACCACGCCCCCTTCCAGGCTAGCGAGGTAGGCGAGGGACGCGGACGGCAAGGGGCGGGCTCGCGTCGCTGTTGCTAGGAAACCAGCCGCCGCTCCTGGTTAGTGCCTGCTCTCTCGGATTGCAGGTGCTCAGGGGTGACCGTCCAGAGCCCCGGTTTATTGACGGGGTGCGTGGAGGGGGAGGGCAAGGATACAAATGCTGTTAAGGGTCTTGCTGGCTAAGGTCAGATTAAATTCTTTAGAGGACTCCAGACACTGAAAATATGCTGGTTCGCCCGTCTACTCCCCAGATGTGTAATTCAAACTTGAAAAAACGATGTCAAATCCTAAAATAGATGTAAGCGAACTCAGTGAGTTTTTTAAATTTCTTTTCCGTGATAACTTACATACTTTAGAACGGTGTTTATGTGGCCACTGAGCATTCGAAAGGTGCTGGTGCGACTGAGGAACTGAATTTTTAATTTAATTAAATATTAAACAATAATGAAATAATAATGAAATAATAATTTTAGATCAGCTTCAGAATTTCTATGTCAATTTATTTTTTAAAAAGATTTTTTTTAGGGTCCTGCTCTGTTCATGCCTTAAGTGTGTGCTTAATCTGACAAATGGGGACTCAAACTCTGAGATGGCCCCAATCAGTTCTTCTGAAGCGCAGAAAGGCGCTTTTAAATATGCAGGATTAGGGGCGCCTGGGTGGCGCAGTCGGTTAAGCGTCCGACTTCAGCCAGGTCACGATCTCGCGGTCCGTGGGTTCGAGCCCCGCGTCGGGCTCTGGGCTGATGGCTCAGAGCCTGGAGCCTGTTTCCGATTCTGTGTCTCCCTCTCTCTCTGCCCCTCCCCCGTTCATGCTCTGTCTCTCTCTGTCCCAAAAATAAATAAACGTTGAAAAAAAATTAAAAAAAAAATATGCAGGATTATGTGGATCTTGTCTTCCAAAAGGGATACCGTGAAGCAGCTTTACTGACCTCAGAAATTAGCGTTTGTCACCTGCTGACTCCCTCTTCATTATGGAGATATAAATAGCTTGGCTCTTTGCATGCTTGTAAGGGGTGTAGGGACAAGGAAAGGGACAGCCTGGAAGCATGAAGCCTGCAGGTCTGAAATGAGCCCCCCCCCCCCCCCCCGCCCTACCACTCTGATTTTTGTCATCAACCAGAGACTGCACAATCTCTGGTAAAAAAAGAATGTTCATAATGGCTTCAAAGAAACATTAACAGAATAAGCACTTATCAAAGGCAACTCAGCTAACAAGAACCCCTCAGGAAAAGTTGGTAGCTAAAAGGTAAAATGATTGATTTCATAATAACTGGGGCACAGGAGGCGCTATGATGAAAAATGTTCACAATAGAAAATGAATCTTTATGTGTGTAAGGAGTGTTTTATCATTGCCGGATTAAACAGTAGGCAGACCAACTGTGAGGAAAGGGACAAAGCAGGGGCCCTAAAATGATTTTAAGATGAATTTGGTGATTGACATTGCAAAAGAAAGCATCAGGGGAAAATGGAAGTGTTGGGGGCTTCTTACACATAGCATTGTTTTTTAGAGTTTTTATTTTGCACAGAGGAAGGCATGATTATTGTTTTAATGCTTAGGGCCTCCAAATGTGTAAATCCCGGTCATGTTTTATAGAGAGAGTGACTTCAGGGCCATTAACTTCCTGTAAACCCTTCAAATAAAGTTTCTACCACCCCGGTCGTGGCCTATGTTGACCTCCATCCTCATTGTCCCTTTGCCCCAATATACATAAAAATAGAAACCCAGAAGCCTGTGAAGGTGATCTGAAGATATCTGACAGTAAAGTCTCCTGAACACTGTCAACCCAGGCTTTTTTCCTTTAAAAATACACCTTAATCTTCATTTTAGAAGGAGATCAGCTGGGGGTGTGTGGGGGTGGGACATTAAATGGGATTTATTAAAAGCAACTGACATCAAGTTTATACTGTATAATTATAGTAAGGGAAATAAAATAACAAACATGTTAGCAATCTGTTACCGTGTAACGAATTACATGAAAAGTTAGCAGCTTCATGACATTATCTAACATGATTTATGCTGGCTCAGGAATTGGGGCAGTTTATCTGGGCAGTTCCGGCTCAGGATCTCTCATCATGTTTCAGACAAGATGTCTTCAGGGGCCACATCATCTAGAGGCTTGACTGGGTCTGGGGGAGCCTCTTCAAGATATCTTGCTCCCATGGCTGGTGAGTCAATGCTGGAGGCTTCGGTTTCTCAGCACGTGGAGCTCTCCACTGGGTGTTTGGTAACACTATGGCTGTCTTCCCCTAGACCAAATGATCTAAGAGAGAGCAAGACAGAAGCCACAAAGTCTCTCACGACCTAGCCTTGGAAGCCACACACTGCCATTTCTGCAATAGCCCTGTTAGTTACAAAGATTCACCCCATTCACCGTGAAAGGGAAGTATTCCAGGATGTGAATACCTTGGGGCAAGACTCACCGGGTGTTACCTAAGAGGCTGGCGACTCCAAAAAGTGTTCAGAAAGATATTGAATTTGTGTAATTATTCAGAGGGAATGATTTCCATTTTTTATGTTGGAAACGTGACTTTGCTGCTCTGAGCATAATGTTTTTTATATCAGATTTCTTGCTTTGCACAACTCTTGTTCAATGCTTTTTAGTAATGATCTCTTTAAATTCTGGGCAGTCATCATGGGCAAGAAAATGTGTTCACACAAGCAAGTAATGCAAAACGTAAAGCCTTTAGACTCATTCAAAAGTGGAGAGTTGACATTATATTTCCAGGGTCTGACAGTTCTTTTCTTCACTGACAAACGTTACGTTGAAATTTCTCATGATGCTGCTAATGGATATTGAATCTGAATCAACCTTTTCCTATCAAATATTTAAAATAATGATAACGTCTTAATTCAAAGAGCATGCATGCGTTGTTACAATAGTTTCCTTCCAGCTGTCTTAGATGCCACTGAATAAAGACATTGGACGCAAATGGGGAGGTGCTCTGGGTACATGTGCCAAAGGAGAATCCAGGCTACCTGGGACTCCATCCAGGAGGCACGTATAAGAATATTATTTGTGGGGCGCCTGGGTGGCGCAGTCGGTTAAGCGTCCGACTTCAACCAGGTCACGATCTCACGGTCCGTGAGTTCGAGCCCCGCGTCGGGCTCTGGGCTGATGGCTCAGAGCCTGGAGCCTGTTTCCGATTCTGTGTCTCCCTCTCTCTCTGCCCCTCGCCCGTTCATGCTCTGTCTCTCTCTGTCCCAAAAATAAATAAACGTTGAAAAAAAAATTAAAAAAAAAAAAAGAATATTATTTGTTCGTAAGAGCATAATCATGGGAAATAGACTGAGTGTTTACCAATGACAGAATGAGTAGACAAATTGTAGTGTATGTCATTCATAAAATAAAATACTATCCGGCAGTGAACAGGAGGGGACAACACGGGCAAATCTCAAAAGTGTAGTGCTAAACAAAAAAGGGGAAGTTGCACATAAATGCATTTAGTATAATATTTATTACTAGTTTTAAGCCAAACCAAATCAACACTATTTTTGTAGACAGGCAGACACATGAAGAAATCTAGAGAAAAGTCAGAGAACGATTATCACAAAATTCAGATTTTGATCACGTCTCAGAGGTGGAGGGGAAAAGAGGCATGGAATGGGGAGGGACACACAGGGGTCTTTCACATCCCTGGTAATGGTTTGTTTGTTTATTTGTTTATTCATATTTTAGAGACAGAGAGATGGGGGGGGCGGGGGGAGAGGGGCAGAGGGAGAAAGAAAGAAGATCCCAAGCAGGTTCCATGCTCAGTGTGGAGCCCAACGCAGGGCTCAATTCCACAACCCTGGGATCACGACCTGGGTCAAAACCAAGAGTCCAACACTCAACCAACTGAGTCACACGGGTGCCCCTAGTAATGGTTTATTCTTAACCTTGCTTATGGGTGTTCATTTTACCACTCACTCTTCTTAACCCACACGTGTGTATTATATACTCTCTTGTGTACATATGAAATATTTCACAATTAAAGAAATTTCATGGGGTGCCTGGGTGGCTCACTTGGTTAAGCTTCCGACTTTGGCTCAGGTCATGATCTCACAATTCGTGAGTTCGAGCCCTGCGCTGGGTTCTGTGCTGGCAGCTCGGAGCCTGGAGCCTGCTTCGGATTCTGTGTCTCTCTTTCTCTCTGCCCCTCCCCTGCTCGTGCTCTGTGTCTTTCTCTCTCAAAAATGAATAAACATTAATTTTTTTTTTTTTTAATTTTAAAAAGGGATGTGCCATTTCTTGAACTCTGAATGTTGTGAGGCAATTCATTTCAGTTACTGGGAATAAATGTATTGTTATTCACTTAAATGCTACTAATACCCCATTAGACCTATAAAAGTATACATCGTTGGGTAATGCCTGTTTTCCCTCAAACCTCTGGAGAAATTGCTTTTTGACACTGAATGTGGAAGAGAAGTCTGAAGCTCGCCTGATTTTTATTCCTTTGTAGGTAACATTTTGAAACTACAGGATTGTTTAAGGCAGTTTTTTCCCCGCTTTTCATTCCGGTGATACAAAAAAAAAAAAAAAATGTTTTAGGATATAGCTAAAGTCCCATTGAATTGATTTTTGCTTGAAATTATGAGGGCATGTTTGGTTCTTATAATGATGGGTTTCTACACAGCAAGAGAGATCGTTCTATAGAATCTTTGATTATTACCTATTTTCTACTTGCACTTTCTGATCTGGTTTTCTGATAACGTAAACTGATCGAGTGTGCCTAAAATTACAAGTAAGGGATACATTTTGAAATACTAATTGAGGTTTGTTTTTTTGGCTTTTTTTTTTTTTTTTTTTATCCCTATGCGTTTTGATATTGTCCTGTGGCTCTCTACTTAGTGAGTTAGTGACATTTAATGCCTCAGGGGAGTATGGAT